ACAATTGAGTATCAGCAGAGAGTTTTTCCCTGGTAATTGTGACTGCCCACTCCACCAAAAACATGGAGCACTTTCCATAAAACTGAGCTCAAGGCAACCCGCTCATTCAGCTTCTTTCCTGCCCTCAACTCTGAAGATAAAAATGAACAATGAGTCCTGGAAAGAGGCTGTGAGGTGATGTGGGAGGAGGTCGTGGAGAGACCTGCAGGAAGAGGGGGTTAAGAAACCAAGATGATGAAAACAGAATGGGTAGGGGAAAAGATGAGAGTACGGATTGAAACTCCTGTCTCAGACCCAGAACTGTTAAAAGTATGCCCTTTGGGAAAGACTAAATGTCCTAAGCATAAAATCAAAGCCTCCAGCAAATAAGCAGTGCTCGTTTGGGGGTGATCAGGAGATCAATAAGACTAGCTCTGGGAAAAAATAAGGCAGGATGCACAGTTCCTTGGATTGCATGTTCCCTGAGGGCAGAGGATATATCTAGGATTCTCTTTAATATCCAGTTCTTAAAGTGTACACTTACTAAATGATTATTGAATGAAAATTGTCTTCTACTCGGAAACCATCAGTCCTTATAAAAATGCCTTCATTGAGTCTGTACAACTTTGTAATAATATTCCTTATGCAAGCCTCCTTATGCAAGCATCGATTAGAAAGTGAGAAGACCCAGCCCTGGAAAGATCTTCACCCACCCCACCCACAGTGCAGCCTCTACAAATTTAACTTTAGAAAATAAGTGAATCTTACATTTTCCTAGAGAAAACTATAAAATGTTTTAAGTGATTAGAGTGTTTCTCATATTAGCTTCCCACGACACAGTGCCTCTTAAGGGGTGGGGGCAGAGGACTATAATCCACTGCTCACCTTTTATAAACAGCACACGATTATAATTCTTGGGATAAGGAAACTCACAGCCCTTTGCTTGGGGACAATTCCCCAACTGCAGTACAACAACTGCATCCAAGCCAAGCAGTTAGTCTGGCTGAGCTGAGGATGTAAAGATCAGAGTTCAGGTCACTGGGAGTGGCTAGAATTTAAAAAAGGGGGTGGGGGGGCACCAGAGCGGAGCCCGTTGTGCAGGGAATTGCCACAGAAATCTCTCAGTGAATCCATCCAGTTCACATAGAGGAACATTACCCACCGCTTACAAGGGAGTGGCTGCCACAAGGCTGAGAGTGGACTACAGCAACCAGAGGTAGCTGTGCTGGGGGACATTAAAGATCCAGCCCAGCAAAAGTGAAGAGACCTGTTTAAACACCTTAGGCATCCGGCAGAGATACAAAATATTCTGGGAATTCATCCAAAAGAAAAAAAGGTATTCCTTAGAAGTAAAAACTCTACAGTACAAATTCTTTTTGACAGGTACAGACAAAGCCTAAATATGCAGAGGAGATTTTAGATAGAGTCCCATCAAGATAATAAGACCTTTTAATATACATTGATCTTACCATGACCCACCCTAACATAGCATATCACCAAAGGTATACAAGTTCAAAGTGATCCGCCAGTGTAGAATTGCTTACTAGAACAAGAATAAATATTTTCAGAGGAGGATAACATATTCTAGAGTATCTAAAACACATCTACAATGTCAAATATGTAATACAAATTATTATACATGGAAAGAAAGAAGCTATCGATAAAAACTGAGCCTGAGATGGCCCAAATGCTATATTTAACAGATAAAGATTATAAAGTAGCCTTTATGTACTATAGAAATAAAAGAAAATTGTTTAAATGATTTAAGAGAAATATTAACTTAATGAACAAATAGAAAGTCTCAGAAGAAAAATGGAAGCTAAATAAAAGAACAACATGTAAATTTTAGAACTGATCAAATACAATAGCTGGAAAGAAAAATTCTCTAGATTGACTTAACAGCATGTTGGAAAGCAGATCACAGGGGAAGGTAAGAAGAGCTGGTGAACCTGAATACATATTATGAAACATTTTCCGATCTGAAGAGTTGGGGAGAAAAAGTAAACAAAACAGTTTCAAGGATCTCTGGAATGATATCAAGAGGCCTAACATACATGTATCAGAGGCTGAGGAGAGTAAAAGAGAAAGGAACCAGAAAAATACGGAAAGGAATAAGGCCTCCAACAATAGCAAAACACTGATCCAGACACTCACTGAATCCAACACAGAATAAATACTGAGAAAATACATCTATCAAATATATAGACAAGCTGCAGAAAACAAAAGATACAGAAGAGAATCTTGAAAGCACACAGAGGGAAAAGCATAAATGATGACTAACTTATCAAGACCAGAGAAGCCAATGGAAGGACACTTCTGAAGTTCTAGAATAAAAATGGGCAACATAGATGTCTACATTCGGTGAAAAAATATACATTAAAAAGGAAGGTGACTTCAAGTTTGGGTTCTAATGAAATCAGAAGGACTGGATTTACCTTCTAGCCTGAAACAAGTAAAACACACACACAAAACATACGAAAGAACAGTTTTCAAGATAATGGACAAAATGAATGACAATGATCATTGGAAAAAAAGAGAGAGAGAGAGAGAGAGACAGAGAAAATTAAATGAGAAAGACCCTATAATTGCTCCAGCTTTTGGCCTGGAGATTCTTTTGAAGCCGCAGTGTAGGGAGGGAGAATCCACGGGAATTAGTGACTCCTTGAGATGAACAGACACAGCTTAGAGTGTGGTAACAGGAAGGGAGCTAACGACCACAACACAGAGGAATAGAGAGGAGAAAGCTGCATGAGGAGAGAGCTCTGGAGAGCTGCATATGGTCCCCAGAGAGCCTTATGCTGAGTATGGATCAGTGCACGTGGATGAGAAAACTGCTCCAGGCTGAAGAAAGAACCACCTGAAAGGATTAGAGCTCACACAGGACAAGAATAGTTCTTATCACCATCTGCAGGAGTGGAAAACATCATAATTCATGGGAGAATAGGCTAAGTACTCACTGCAAGTGACTTAACAGCATTCTAAAACAAAGCAATAGTATTTATGGAAATACACCTAACAAGGGAAAATTCATAATGCCAAGCATACAATCAAAAAGTACTAGGCATACAAAAAAGCAACAAAATATGACCCATAATAAAGAAAAAAATCAATCAAAACTCACCTAAAAGTTATGAGGATGAAAAATTAATACTTTAAAACAGATATTTTAACTGCATTCCAAATGACTGATAAAGTCAAAATATTATTGAGCAAGTTGAGACATGGAAGATATTTTTATTTTATTTTATATTTTTGAATCCTCACCCAAGGATACTTTTACATTTTTGTTCAGATAGGGAGGAAGAGAGGGGAAGAGAAACATCGATGTGAGAGAGGCACATCAACTGGTTGCCTCCCACACAACCCCAATCAGGGCCAGGAACGAACTGCAACTGAGGTACATGCCCTTGATTGGAATTGAACCTACGACTCATTGGTCCACAGGCAATGCTCTAACCTCTGAGCAAAACTGGCCAGGGCTATGAAAGATATTTTTAAAAGCCAAGTGAAACTTTTAGAGATGAAAATGCTAGACTCAGATGCAAAATATAACATAAGAGATTAAAATTAAATTAGAAACAGCAGAAGAAAAGATCAGTGAACCTGAAGATAGAAAGAGAAACTACCCAAAATGAAATACAGAGAAAAAACATTCAGAAATTAACAGAGCATTGATGAGCTTGGGAAAAGTTCAAATGGCCTAATATACATGAAACTGGAGTCTCCCCAGGCTAGAAGGCAGGAGAGACAGGAAAAAAAAAGAAACAATTGCCAAAATTTTACCAAATTTAATAAAAGCTATAATCCTATGGTTCCAAGAAGCTCAATAAACACTAAGAACAAGAAACAAGAAGGAAACCACAGAAAGGCCACACCACAATCAACACTACTGAAGAGATGTGCACTTTGTCAGTGCCTTGATTCCAGTAGCAGTAGGTGATTCTAGTTTCTAGTTTTTTCCCCTACATTTTCAGAACCAACATCATTGCACTCCCCCAGAGATACTAATATCAACTATCCAGACCCTCTTTTCAGGGGTCTCAGTCCCAGCTCCACAGGGGATCTCACCTCTGTGCTCCTCAGGTAGCAACACCAGATGGTGTCTCCTCCAAAGGGTCTGAGTCCGAGCTTCCTAGGGACCTTCCTCCAGGCTTCCAAGTGCTGAGAAACCCAACCTCTTTACTTTACTCCCTTAGCTCAAGGGGTGGAAACTGCTTCCTATCATTACTATCTCTGTAATGTCTCAGTGTTCTTTTTTTGCAAGGTTAACTGGTTTTTAAATTGATTTTAGAGAGAGAGAGAAAGGGAGGAGAGAGAAACATCGATGTGACAGAAACATCAGTTGGTTGCCTCCCGTAGGCATCCCGACTGGGGATCAAACCCACAACATGGGTATGTGCCCTGACTAGGAATCGAACTTGTGACCTTTTGGTGCATGGGGACAACACTCCAAACAACTGAGCCACACCAGCCAGGGCTGTTTAACCAATTCTTTTTTATTTATTTTATTTTTTCAGAGAGAGAGGAGGGGAAAGGGAGAGAGAGAAACATCAATTGGCTGCCTCCCATACACACCCCAACAAGGGATTTAACCTGCAACCCAGGTATGTGCCCTGTCCAGGAATAGAACCCTTGAACTTTCAGTGTACCAGACAATACTCCAACCAAATGAGCCACACCAGCCAGGGCTGTTTAACCAACTCTTTATATTAAATATTGTTTAAATAATGGAGAATAATGATTGCATCCTGTTAGGCAAAAGTAAAATTTTATTAATATTATATGTAATTAATATGTACAGAAGAGTAAGTATAGAGTTTAAGGAGCCAGAGTTGAAATGGGTTGGTTATTGAACTTTTCTCTGTTTCAAATTCATCCCTTTATTCTCACCTTTGTGATTTGGGGCTTTGCCATGTGTGTGCGCAAAGAGTATGCAACAGAGAAACAGGAAGCTAGAGGGAGACGAGAGATTTGTTCCTTTTTGTTTTACTTCCTGTTCCTGCCAACATCACTCTGACAAAGGTTCTTCATTCTATAAGTAGCAACTGATTCCCAGTCAGTTCCAGTTACCAGCTGGTTTGGTTTTCCCCACATCCCCAGAAGCAGCCTCACTGTACCCCCTCAGAAATTCAAGGACCAGCTGGAGGGCGTGCGCTCCCCGGAGGGCGGAGTCCCAGCTCCGTGGATCTGCTGAACTAGTCTCTCAGTTGAATTCTTTTCTGAATTTGTAACGCAACAGCACCAGCATGGGGTCTTTCCTCCAAACGTCACAGGTACCAGTGGCCAAACTCCCCAGATGTCTGGATCCAAACTCTATAGGGCCTCTCCCTCGAGATTCGAAATTCCATCAATCCCAACTCTTTTGTCTCCACAGTGCTGTGGGAGGTAACTGCTTCCTGCAGTTACTACTGTGATATTTTCCTTTGGAATTTTACAGCATAAAGACACAGTTGTAAATTATACCAGTTCTTTTAATATCAGCTATGCTACGTTACACTTGGTTTCTTCTAATTTTTCTTTTATCTTATCCTTACATCTTCAGATATTTTCAATAAGGGCTAAGTGATAAATGTGAATCTGTGCTCATGAAATGGAAAATATCTACAATAATTCTTTATCATTCTCATGTTTGTTTCACCTTATCTGAGTGAAACATTATGGAGAGATTGAGAAATGGAAAATGGGAGGCTCTCATATCCCTCATGATTTGAGGAGAATTTCCTTGCCTATAAAATACAACACAGAATTATAGTAGATAGCTAACAAAGTATTTCTGTGAAGCACTCAGTAATCATAAGTGCTGTGTAAATTTGTTTTAACTACTGAGACTAGACAATGGAAGGAAGAGACGATGGAATAAGAGAGGTGAAAAGAAGAGAAACAATTGAAGAAAGTATTCTAGAGAGGTTTCTACCCACTCAAAAATACACTGAAAATCAGTTTTAAAAACAAAAGACTGAGCCTCTATTTTTTCCATTCCACTCAACCTTGATTCCCAGGCTATATATCAAAGAACTCTTTAGCCAATGACGCAAAAGCCATTTATTAACATACAGCAAATACTGTTTATTGCAGACTTTCCAGCTGACTCATGTGAAAAAGGCACTATGAAAATTAATGAATCTAGATAATCTCTCTACATGGATTTATGTTAAAATATACAACATTCTTACATAACATCTGTTTTATATATGTGAAATAATATAACATTTAATGACAAAAATCGTGTTTCCAAAAATAACATTTGTTGAAGGTTAAGTATCTTTCTTTCTATATCTAGAATCTTTCACAGGATTAACACAGGTGTAATTTAAGTGTTTCTTATTACCAGAAAAACTTGACACAGATAAACACATAAAATGGCCCCAATTTCCTTCTAACTACTAATATCAATATTCGAACTGAGACTTTCATTAAGCAAAATACTGCAACTCACACCAATGCAGGTTACTTCCTGTGACATAGTTTGAGTATATATGACCTCTTTTTACACTTGTGCTTTCTTATATATAAGAACCCAGAATAAGTAACAAACAGAATATAAGCTAAACCAAAATACAAGCTATACAAGGAATTGTAATCAACAGAGCCATGGCAAATACAATGTCTTGGGAATGCTCCATAGGTTTATATTTGCATGTTCAAGGCCTTGTCGTACTTTTACAGTTCATTAAATGTACTGATTTTTTTTTAAGTGTTGGCATTAAGAACTTTAAATAAATCGAAATATTTTATCACTGACTATGTCAAACAAGAGACCCAAGTAAGCAGAGGCTAGCCTAAGGTAACTACGCCCTCAAGTGACACACACCATCGTCACAGGCAAATCTGAGATTGTTAAGATTTTGAATCATGGGCAGTATCTTTGTTTTGATGCAATACTTAAATTCGCCACCATCAAAAATACCTGCCTATACACCGAGATGAGGGCGAAATAATTAATCCAACAAAGAAAACCTCACCTTGATTAAGTAAACAAAATATTTCCCAATGGCAAAAAATTCTATTTAAAATTGTTGTTTCAATTAAAATAATGGGTCCAGAAGCGCGTCCTCTACTTACTTATGTTTGCATTGTTATTTTTATGGCGATAAATAAAGTCTACCAAGAGATAAAAATCTGACATTCCCTTCATGGCTTCTTAAAACAAAGCACGTTGGAATAATGCCAAAAATTTAAATGGAGTTTAAAAACAAAGAAAGAAATTAGTGACTGCTTCCCTCATCAAAAGACTCCACTCCTGAATCACTGGCTGCAGCACTGATTTTCTCCTGCCGTCTCCGCATGATTTCTTGCAGTTCAGAGCTGCCGCTGCTATCCTGGAAGATAAACACGTTCAGACAGATGGTTACTGGTCTGTGCAGGCTGCAGGTCACAGCATCCAGCCGCTCAGGGGAAAGCCCTCTGTGTTTTCCTTCTAACATCTCTGGGAGGACACTCGAGGCTGCCCTTCATATAAGGGATGCTTCTGGGTGTCACTAACATAGCACATTAATTTTTTCTCTCTTCTCATTTATACAGTGTCTTAAGGTGAATTCATTCACCATGCCTTTTATTTGAACATGATAAAGACATAGCAATAATACATGTGGACAGCTTTAAATCCCCTGGGAGAAAGAAAATATGTGCACAATAAGCATAATAAGATAGAAACTTATCAAAGAACCCCTGTTAGCTCAAGGAAGATATTCATCCACCTTCAGGGGATTCTAAATCAGGCTCAGAATACGCCAAGTTTCCCTCTACACGGTCCTGACCCTCTGACATCAGGTCAGCTTTTCTCCTTCTCAAGCCACCTTGCAATCCCTGCGCATCCTCCTTAGCCCTTCTCTTATCAGTCAAAGTATTTGCAAACACAGGTAAGGAATCTAAAAAATGAACTAGATGCAAGAGAAGGATGTGGTGGGAAGGTGGCTGAGGAAGATGAAGAATCTCAGGTAGACAGTCTGCCTCAATTCACAGCCAGAGGAACAGGAGCCAGAGACCAGGGGGAAGTGGGCAGTGTGGGCAACCGATGACCACAGGGAGTCTGGACTGAAGGAGCGCAGCCATGTCAGGGATGTGGAACCTTTGATCATACCCTTAGGAAGTAAATACACGCTCAATAAAATTACAGTCTATTCTAACAGTAACAAAACTGCCTCAGAAAAGCTGTAATTCCTTCTTCATGTTCAATATACAGAGAGTCTGCTACAAACAGATTAATGTTGTAGGAAAAATGTTCAAGGTAAATAGACTTTCCCTGACTGAGAATAGTTACAAGTTTGTATGCATGAAGCTGTTTTACTCTGAGTTGACTAATGAATTTATACAATATAACTGCCAGAGAAAATTATGTATCAATTTCATGCCAAAGCCTATATTCTTTCATCTGAGTCCAAGTGGAATATTCATGAGAGCTATTGAGAGCTGTGAGATGTAACAGTGGGAAACTGCTACCACTACAAAGCCCGTTTTAAGTACAGTAGGATATTGAAGCTTAAGTATGTCCAATCTAGAAAACATTTACTCTCCTGCTTCCCCATGGACAATTACAACTAAGTAATTACTCTGTAGGGCTCCCTATATCCATATATTCATGATCCCTAGCTAATACTTTCCCTCTGACTATGTGGATGTATAACCAGGCCTAGGGCACACAGCTAGGGTTTTAAGACCTTATAACTTCTAACCTACTAGAATCTCCAAACTAAACATTAAGAGTAGGCAAAAGAGTTCTTCTAGCCTCTTAAGGCATTTACTCACTAGAAATGAATGTCCATTACTGTATCAAAATAAAAATTCCTACAGAAATAGCTAATGTATATAAAATGAGAACATTAGGTTTTCATTAAATCTGAAAGTACATGCCCAGGCTTCCTGTTTCATGAGCATTTATAACAAATTAATCTCCCTGCCAATGGTCATTGATGGTCTCCCGTGACATATTTAATGCGGCTCAGGATGAAAGGGAAATTGGCCAATATGGACATAAACAGACGATCCAGAGCTCTCGGTTTGCATCTCCGCTCCTGACAGATTTCACTATGTTAGAGGGACAAGCCATACCTCTAATGCAGCTTTCTGTACAGTGATTTGGTTAAAGACTCTGGCCCCTTCAGGGCAGACTGTCTTCAGTTCATCTTTATTGAGAGAGAAAAGTTGTGCACCGTTTAATACTCCAAGACTGTTGACAGTCCTGAAAAAAAAAAAAGGACAAAGAAATTGAGCATCAGAAATATTGTCAATTAAAAGAGAAAAGAGAAACATTTCTGGTCCTGCTCTAGCCTCCCTTCTGCGCACTCCACACATCAGAACCCACACAATGGCAGGGCACTGCTCAGTCAGGGCAGGACAGGGACGGTAGGAGGATGACCTGAGGCCGTACGAGATGGTTATGAAGTATCAGAAAGGAGCCTGCTGGGTTTAGTACCATTACTGTGCAGGACCAATTCCTTGACATCTGGTGTTTCACAGGAGGAAGTGATAACTTTCTAGTAACAAGGTTATTGACTAGCCAGTGAATCTTACTTTATAGTCATGCTGGGCAAGTGAGTTTATAATATTCAAGTTTCCTTGAATATGTATTAGTCAAATAGTTCATTGTATCAAAACACATAAGCTGAAAGGAGTTCATCACCGCCAAACCAATACTACAGAAAATGTTAAAGGGTCTTCTTCAAGAAGAAAAAAAAAGATAAAAAATATGACTAATAAATAGCTATCAAAAAAGAATGAAATCTTACCATTTGGGACACTGTAAATGAACCTAGAAGGTATTATGCTGACTGAAATAAGTCAGTCCGAGAAAGACAAATACCATATGATTTCACTTACATATGCAATCTAAAGAACACTATAAATGAACAAACAAAACAGAAACAGACTCACAGATACAGAGAACAGACTGATGGTTGCCAGCGGGGAGGGGCTTGGGTGATGGGTGATAAAGGGGAAGGGACGGAGTACAGGTTGTACTTACAAAACAGTCACAGGGATGTAGAGCACAGTACAGGGATATAGTCAATATTGTAACAACTATATATGGTGCCAGGTGGGTACTGAAAATATCGAGAAAACACTTTGTAAAGTATATGATTGTCTAACCACGATGCTATACACCTGAAACTAATATAAAATAAGATTAAGTGTAAACTATAATTGAAAAGAAAATTTTAAAGCGGTATACAAAAACTCAAAATCAAATAATGAAAATATTTTAGCAGGAACCGAACCCGGGTCTCTCAGGACTGCAGGCCGACGCTCTAACCGCTGAGCCAAACCGGCCAGGGCAAATAATGAAAATATTTTTAAAAACATAATCTGTTAACAAAAATAATAGGTCAATTAGAAACTTTACCATGGGTTTACTAAAGGAAAAGCCCTGTTAGATTATGATCTATGAGAGGTAGTGGTGTCTATTTTTCCTGTGCCTGGAATCTATGTCCTGCAGCAGGAGAGATTCTGCTCTGTCCCTCAGGATCCGGGCAGGCTAGCAGACAGTCCTGCCCCGTGTGACCTGAGAAGGGAGATGGAAAGCTGCCAGCCTCGAAGCTGCTGGCAGGTCACCGAAGGGACTAATGATGAGCAGACACCACTGTTTAGAAAATGGGGTGCCATCAAAGGCCAGTTACTTCTGCTTCTTCCAATTCTTTTCTAGCTATAAATAGCTATAGTCATTTCCTGAGCATGAAACAAAGGCAGTTTGGGCTCCCACATTTCTAAGGAGTCATTTGTGACATCTTAGTGACGAAACTGCACACAATGCATGTTTACACATAAAATGGGAGAGCGTTCCCCGAGAGACTTACACAGGGCTGAACCCCTTTGACTGCAACCACGTCTTCACATCCTCCGGTGTGGAGTCATAAGTGATGTTGACAACTGGCACGTTCTGCCGTGGCACGTGGAACTTCTTCTGGGCGGCACTCCGACCGATGGTCAGCCTGTGGATGAGCTCATCCTGCACCTCCTCCATCTGAGATTTCCTTCCTGGACACCAACACCGAGGGGGTTACTTCGGAAAACTCCCAACACATCTCGCTCCCTCCAGAACCCCAATGCCAATCACCCTGCTGCCCACAGCACTTACATTAACTAGCGTTCCAACCACCTTTCCTTGCTTTTACCCTCACGGAATAAATTCCATGATCAATTATTCAAACCACTCCCTAGCTTTTCTTCTCTCTTCATTGTAATCATTTGGCAAAATCCCAACCCTTGTTAAATCTAGCTTTCTGCTTATTCCGTACCTGCACCTGCCCCCTGACTGCAACACAACAACGCTGAATGATCTCATGTTAAATTCATGAATGTGAACCTCAACGGGGGTGTTGCTACTCTCTGACAATCATACAACATTTCCTAGGCCAGTGGTCTCCATGGGGCGCGGGGAGGGCCTTGCTGGAGACACTTTCGGATGTCACAACTGGAGGTGGGGAGGGGGAAGATGCTACTATTCCGCAGTGGGTAGAATCCTGGGAGGCACAGAACACTACAAGGCACAGGTCAGTCTTGGGCAACAGAATTATCCAGCCCCAAGTGTCAATAGGCTCAGGCTGGAAATCCTGTCCTAGACCACATAATTGCCCACTTTTCTATATGTTTTTAATATCTTCTTTCTCTGCAAACCTCCAACACTTAGTATCAAATCCTTACTCTAAACTGATAATCTCATTTTCCTAATTTCTGGGGGAAAAATATTGTTAGAAGAGCCCTGACCAGTTGCTCAGTGGTTAGAGTGTTGGCCTGAGGATTAAGGGTCATGGGTTCGAGTCCCTGTCAAGGGCACATATCTGGGTTGCAGGTTCCATCCCCAGCCCCAATCGGGTTTGTGTGGGAGGCAACCAATCAATGTAGCTATCTTACATTGATGTTTCTAAACTTTCTGTCTTTCTCCCCCTTCCTTCCATTCTATATTAAAAAAAAAAAAAAATCAATGGAAAAATATCCTCGGGCAAGGATTAACAAAAACAAAACAAAGTTAGAAGAGAATCTCAGAAAGTCCCCTACAGCTCTCCTCACTTACCAGCACTTTGCCTTCCTATCAGGGTACAGATGAACCGCGTCCACGCTCCACAGGCCAGCCCCTCTGCACGTGCCCTACACCCCACGTCCTGTATTTATTTACTTATTTTTTTAATCCTCACCTAAGGATATTTTTCTATACATTTTCAGACAAAGTGGGAAGTAGAGGGGGGAGAGTGAGAGAGAGAGAGAGGGCGGGAGGGGGGGGAGGGAGAGAGTGAGAGAGAGAGAGAGGGGGGGGAGGAGAGAGAGAGAGAAATATCAATGTGAGAGAGACACATGGATTGCTTACCTTCCGCATGACCCCCGACTAGGGCCGGGGATCCAACAGCAACCGAGGTACGTGCCCTTGGTTGGAATTGAACCTGAGACTCTTTAGTCCTTAGGCCAATGCTCTAACCACTGAGCAAAACCAATCAGGGCTCTTCTAACTTTTTTTTTCTTCTTCCAGAAATTAGGACAGTGAGATTATCAGCTTAGTGTAAGATGGGGTACTTTTCTTATTTCCCTCACCCTTAGATAAGCCCTTTCTCAACCCCATGCTCCCTCCCAGCCACTGCCCATTTCTCAGCTCCCTTTTTAGCAAAACTCTCTGAAAAACTGTCTATATGAGCTGATTCCTATTTCCATTCTCCGATTTTCTCTGACATTCATTGTAATTAGGCTTCTGGCCCCTCCATCCACTACACTTTGGTAAACTCCGATGGTCAATTCCCAGTCCTTGTCTCATAACCTATCAACAACATTTGAAGAAGGTGACCCCTCCTCAGTATCATTCTCCGAATATTCTCATCTCCCCAACGAAGTGACCTTCAAATGCTCTGGGCATGATCCTGGGATCGCTTCTTTGTCTGCACTCTCTCCGCCCGTGACCACTGTGACTAGTGTTATGGCTTTAAGTGCCACTGAAAAGTTAATGACGACCACAGCTATTTCTCCAGGCCAAGCTTCTCCTCAGAACCTAGGACCCCTGTACGCCCACTGCCTAGTTGGTGCGTTCACTGAGGCGTGTCCCAGATACCTCGAGTAGGACACGTCCGAATCGGTACTGCTTATCTTCTTCCTGAAGCCTGCTTTTATGCTAGGCTTCCCAACTTAGTTAATGATAATCTATGTTTCCAGTTCCTGTGACAAAATACCACGGAGCTATGCCGAGTCCTCTTCGTCCTCAATAACATCCAATCCATCAGCACATCCTGTTAAACCTACTATCAAAATGTACTGAAAATCCAACCACTCCACTCTCTGTGTTTCTGTTACGAGCTTGGCCTAAGCCAAAGGCCCATCTCATGTCTCCCTGCTTCTCCTCTCCACCACCCTACCCCTCACTCTTCATTCTTTTCTCAAGACAACAGCTGAAAGGATCCATTTAAGATCTAAGTCAGATCCTGCAACTCTTCTCCTCAGCCTTCCCAGGCAATGCAATTACTCCCGGAAAAGGCCTCCTCGACCTCCGACCCCACGGCCCTCCCCCTGGACCCAGCCCTCACTCACAGTGGCTTCCTAGTGCTCTTCAGCTTTAAGAGCCTTCGCCTGGAATGCCGCACCCCCAGCCACACCGCTCAGGCTTCCCCTCCTTTAGAATTCCCCTATTTAAAACTGCACCCTCTTAGGATAATACTTTCCAGGGAATCAGTGGGGGGAAAAGGAGAAACATCTGTAACAAAAATAAATAATTTAAAAAAAACAAAACAAAACTGCACCCTCCATGCCTGGTGCTGTGGCTCAGTGGACTAAGCATGTCCCATGGGCTGAGGTCCCAATTCAATTCCCAGTCAGGGCACATGCCCGGGTTGTGGGCTCCATCCCCAGTGGGGGGCGTGCAGGAGGCAGCCAATCAATGTCTCTTTTTCACATCCATGTTTCTATCTCTCTCTCTCTAAAAAAATAAAATGAAAAATGTAAAAAGATATTAAAACAGCAACCTCCTCCCCACTAGCACTCCCTATCCACAGGCTCTGTTCTTCTCCTGACCGCTTAGCACCTTCTAATGCTCACTGTCAACTTATTTATTTATCTGTTTCCTTTCATTAAAATAGATGCCTGAGGAATTCAATAAACAACCACTGAATAAATGAATGAATGAGGCATTCTGTTGACTTTTTCACTAAGAGACTTTGAAAAGCATTACTAACAAAGCCCTAAAATAACCAGATAAGAAAATGGATGCCAAAAGAGGAGAAATGATGTGTCAAAATCACATTGTTCATTAGTAGCAGAATTTAGCTAGAACTGATCTTTCTGACTTTGACTCAGCCATTTTATGGCCAGTCATTGAATCTACCTTTGTTTGACTTAGCTGCTACACCCCTCCCCTACTTATTTTATGCTTAAAGAAAGAATGCATACATGAACATATCTTTATGAGAAAAATGGGAAAAAAAATAAATGTATGGGAAGGGGACTAATATGTTTGTGTATTTAAAAAATGCATACGCACATACAAACACACACAAACACACACACACATTATTTGTATATCATCTTCAAGGATTAAGTACAAAGATCTGCTATAATAACTCACTTAACTAATTAACGTGGCACATGGCGATGACCAGACTACTAAGAGAGCTTTATGTGACCATTGTACTACCATCTCCCCCATCCCCATCCTCCCTCAGGGAGAGTATTTTAGAAAGTGTTTGGTGTCCCTGGGAAATAGGTGAATGTGTGAAAAAAGTCATGTAGTGTCATTTCAATCTAAATTTTTTTTAATGCTTCAAGAATTCAGAAAACTTTTTGAAGAAATCATCCAAAGAAAATAGAAGAAAGGAAGGAAGGGAGAAAGAGATGGAGAAGGAAGGGAGGGAGGATGAGGAGGCTACAGAGAGTGACAGGATCTATTACTGATTGTTACATTTAAGTAATACGCTGCATGCATTTCATTTCAGTCTTTCAAATCACTACTTCATACTGCCGTACAGCATATGAGTACACCTCAAAGGAACAAGAAAGAAAAATAATCACTGCGCTAAAACATTTATTTTCTTGTCTGCCAACTCAGCCACTGCACGATCATCTGCAATCTGTCCAGAGCACAATCATCTTCCCAGGAGTATAAACACCTCTTGTAAAGCACTCCGGGCTTTCGGTTTCCATTTGCAATGTTCTAGCACACAACAACAAACCACTAACTTTGCACCTCTTTCTAAAATAACACTTCTGATTACAAAAGATTAAAGTCAAATAATAAGGTCTAACATTTCAAAGGAATGGAAGAAATGCAAACCAACTACAACATTGATATCTTCCAAAGCGATGAGAGGAAACCTATTTTGAATCCTGCGGTAACTCAATTTGAGAAGCTCCTACGATTCGGGGTTCCAAGCTGATGGTTTGAATAGGCAACCCCACTTCAGCAAGAGTCTGACTGTCATTACTTGTTACGTTTTAAAAACAGCCATGTTGACCTTTTCCCTTGTTCATGGCTATTTGGTAACATTTTTATGAGTGGGTATTCACTTTACACTTCCTTCCATTTTATTTTTATCAAAAGTCTAGGCGGTAAGCAGAGAAGATATGTAGCATAACTGGCGTGTTTTCGGAGCTCTGGCTATCAATACATAAACGTCTCTGTCTGGTTCTGAAAGATTGCTGAGAAGCCCCAACATTCATTCAGAAATAAAATGTTCTCCAAAAGTGCTCAAGAAAAGCTATCAAAAATATTTGTTTTATGAAAAGCAATATAGTTATTTAGTGTCAAACTATACTTTTGAGATATCTTTAAGAGAAATTTTATGTAAGTAATTGTAAAATTTTATTATTTTTAGGAAACAAGTTTATGTGTTAATTTTGGGGGAGGTGTTACGTTTTGTTATCAAAAATCTCTCTTTTACTTATGAAAAACAGACTTGAAAATGATGAGTCACAATTATCAGGAGAGTTCTCTCTCTTTAAAGTATTCTAACTATGCCTATTTCCCATTAGGTTATTCTTAGTTTCTTAGACTAGGACAAAGAACAGACTGTCCCAACCCACAGGCGGTCCAAAGGGGGCTGGATGTCTTTGAACTCTGATCCTAGGCCTGGAAAGACCGACACAGTGTTAAAGATTAGTGTGCTGATGTATCAAAAGAGGGAAATGTTATAAATTTGTGGTTAGAATGAAGAAACAACAGTAATTTTTAACATGAATTTTTCCCCCCACAGGGAAATCAATAAATACATTTATAGAACTTTCTCATCACAAAACTATGTCTCTAGTGTCTTAAAAATAAATATATTTAAAAAATACACAATTAAAAAAATTTAGTGGTATATACTTATACACACAATTCTCATACACACAGTGGTTTTTGCTCCACAGAGTTCATTGTTTTTCCAAAACTTCATTTTTCCATTAGTTTTTTTTTTTTTTTGGTAAGGTCAAGATATAGATAGGGTGATTTTAAATTGGCTTACCCCTTGGGAGAGATAGTAATGTACAAAATAGGCTTACACTTCATGCACTTAACCAGAATTTCTAGAACAATGAAATAGCAACAGTTTCAGTTGTTCTCTCTCTTTTTTAACTTATCAGAAATGACCACAACTGAACAGATGTGGCTGGATTTACTGAGGTGAGAAAAACAGCAGGATAAAATGGGAGTGAAAGATTCAATAATTTGGTTTTGAACTTGAATCTTAAGCATTAAATCTCAGCTATAAAGTTAATGGTGCAAAGCATGTATCGGGATGTCAGATGAGATTTGATATGAAGACAAATCTGGGAGTCATTCCTTTTCTATCGGTACAGATGGTATGGAAAAAAGGGGAAATAGATTGATCATCTACAGTAAAAGTAAGTTTATGGAGAAAAGAGACCAGAGCTGAGCCCTAGGGAGTCCATATTGAGAAAATGCAAAATATCCTTTACACACACACACACACACACACACACATACCCTTTATATACTTTTATCATAGTGAGGAAATTCTTTCCTAGCTATAATTTTCCAAGAATTTTTATACACCAAGTATAGATGAAGCAAAGTAATTTTATAATATTTATAAAAACATAATCTAAAGATTAAACAGACCCAGCTATATACAGTAAGGCAAAACAAAATCAAATTTATCTAAGAATTACCTTCAGTTTTCAAATTATCCACACTGCTGTTCTCAGTACGAACAAGGAGAATTCAAAGTTGGCCATAGGGTCTTTTCTTTTTGTTTATTTAAATCTGGTTTTCATAGAAACCGTTCATATGAAAAATCAAATTTAAGTTTATGAAAGAATAAAGTTAAAATCTGAATCACATGAAGTCTGAATTTGGACAGCAAACCTACAACAGCCATTGGCAGAATGATGACATTAAGTCAGTGCTCCCGTGTGTATACATGAGAACAGCAAACACGAGGAAGAGGAGCAGGAAGACTGGGATGCCGATGCAGGTGACGACCACCGCAAATATTTACCAACTGCTTGAAATGTGTCATATTGGTCAAAATCAATCAAGACTTTTCAACCTCAGCACCACTGACGTTTTGGGCCAGGAAATTCTGTTGGGGCTGGGAGTATCCTGTTCATTGTAAGACATTGCTAAACCTCCCGGGATTCTAGCTTTAGAAGCCAGTAGCAACTACCCAACTATGATCAAAATATGTCTCCAGACAATACCAAATGCCCTTGGGAGAAGATGGTAACAATCACCCCTGACAGAACAACTGATCTAAGTGCTTTACATGCATTATCTCATTGAATTTTCACAATCACTCTATGAAGTAGAAACCATTATTTCCCCCATGTCAGACAGTGAAATACAGAGGCTTATTAAATTGTTGGAGGTCACACAGACATTAAGTGGTGTGTCACTATGCACACTCAAGCATCTGGCTCCAGAGCCTTCATTCACCCACCACAGTATGTTGTAATATGTGTAGAAAAACACACATTGGAGAACAGAAAGAACTTCCTATTTCTCAGAATTACTTGGAGAATAAAAAACTAGGTGAAAATCTTTGCGCTCTATCAAGTTTCATGCAAGTATGAAGGAGTATTATTTACATTTGATAATATTCAGTACCAAAATATTATTTATATTTCATAAACAATATTTTGCTTAGCAGTGCTTTGAACTTGCAGAATGAACGGTGCCGTTCTCGCCTCCCTGGGAAACTTACGGTCCACAGGAAGCTGTTTGTGCCTCTGGCTGTCGCGCACAATGCTGCCACCACTGTCACTGGAGCTGCTGTTCTGCCGGGTAACATTTGCGGGGGCCTTTGACACAGGAACAGGGGCTGGAGTCGTCGGTGGGAGGGGGACAGGAACAGGAGCTGGTGTTGGAGGAGGTGATGGAGCAGAGGGGGGGTCAGATGTTCTTGGACCATACTCCATCCTTTGTTTCTACAAAAAGACAAACAATTAAACAATGTAAAAATCTAAACCTAGCCTAGAAAAAACAGGTTATACTTTGACAGGGCATTTTTGGCTTTTTATTTGTGAACTTACTAGCAATCCATAGCTAAGGTATGTATGTATGTGCATACACACTTTCATCTCCAATTCTATATGGTAGAATAATCATTAAAAATAATCTTTTCGATACTCTACATACTTGTTCAAAATCAAAATGTACATTAAGGAGTCAAAAGAAAATAGTAGTATTAATAATAGTAACAAATGTCAAGAAAACTAAATTTGAACTTGGAATCACCCACAACCAGGGTAGGTCAAAAGATTTCTGATTGTTTTATAATTTCCATTAATAAAACCTCTCATTGCATGGGAAGTCTAAAATCAATAACATAGAGCACTACTTATTCCTTATTTTAAATGTACATTATATTAAAAAATGTTTAATTTTGTTTCTAAGTAATTTTTTAATATTTCAGTACATAAAAGGACTTTGCTTTAAAGTAAATAAGTAATTTCAAAGTGTTAATTTATTCAAGTGATAACCCTTTGTGCCATCATCTTACTGCTAGTTTATTAAAATGAGATATTTTCTTGTTAAAATGGGAATGTTGTGGATGGACAGTGGTCAGAGTAGTGCCATGTTCTAATTAAGTGATGATGACTGAAACTCAAAATCATATATGAGGAAAAAGGCCATGTGAAGATTTGTATTTAAAAAGGTGGATGTGATAGATACACAGTAACATTCAGTAACTTGTTAATCATTATAGGCCATTCTAAAACAGTATGTATATTCCCTCTCAAGCCACACACAATAGTTAAAACTTTAAACAAAATAAATTTAACAAATAGTAAACTGCATTAAAACAAGTTCCAAATTCTCAAAAGGCATTTTTTTTTTTTTGTAGAGTCCAAGATTCAGATCAACGGACTTATAACTTGCATAAAGTTTAGATACTGCACTCACACAATTTTAGTTAATTCTAAATCCAAAATTAGCAGATAAAACGCTAAAAGCAGGCCTTTTGGTAATCTGGTCCTTTGGTTAGAAAAGTACTATTTACTTTTAATACCTAAATTGGCCCAAATATAAGGTAATGGTGCTTTTAAAAGAGGCCTCCCCAATTTCCACAGAGATCAAAAACATAAAAAGGCACACCACACACAAACATCACTTTTAATTAAATCATTAGTCAAAAAAAACAACACACCAACCATCATCATAGTCGCCTTCACAGCAAATGAGTAACACCTGTGGAAACCAGCGCAGGCAGGATACGGGTTCTTTTCTGCTGTCTCTTTAAAAGCTACCACTCACCAGCCGAGCCAGTGGGTGGAGAAGGTGGGACAGTGTAAAGCAAGGAGAAAAGCAGAACTGAGAGGTGCTTATAATGCTGCTAGATATTGGGAAGGGGGAAGGAGAGAGGCAGGAAGAGAACAAACAGGGGCTTGAGATTCATGGAGCAGCCGTGGAGTTAGATGGGAGAGAAACAGACATTGCTGACCCCCTCCGCGTTGAAGGCCTAGAAACATTTCGCATATGTTAAATAAAAAAGTTTACTTTATTATTATGATTATTTCCCACAAAATGATGCTCTTATATTTGGGCCAATAAAATACTTAAAGCAATCAAAATACAGCAAACAGCTCTGAAATGTAATACTTAGCACACACCAAAGTCATCTGATTAAAATATATGCAATCTTCCCTTGATAGGAATGTCCTTTGTACATAATTACATGAAGGGTTAGTGAATTCTCACAATAGGGTTTCAAGAATGTCAGAGTTTAAAATGCTGTTTTTAAAGCTTAAATAAACAAAAATAAATGCTACCAGCTCCGCATTCCATATGATCCATATTTTCTGCTTTCATGAAAACAAGACGAGCTAGTGTGTTATCCATCAAATAATACTGTACAAAACAGAATACACTGTGTATTACTGTCACAATCAAGCCTGGAGACAGGCTCACCAGATCGTCTGTGCCTCACTTCCTCCCTCTGTCGTTGCTCTATAATGCAACTTTATCAGCACAACCTGAAGAATCGTAGGCTCAAATATCACATAGGTATGTGTACATTTGATTGAGGTACAGAAAAGCCATATGCAACGTTTTCATAAATTATGCCACACATTTTGTTACTTGCATATTTTCCTCTTCCCTTGATTCTCTCTTCCTGTCTCAAGCTTCCAACCCCTGATTGGAAAGGAGGAAAATGCCTTCCTCAAATCATTACACCCTCTTCTGAAAGGGCAACCAAGTCAGCTTTTCTTTGGAAACGGGCTTGTCATTACTGGTGTGGAGGAAATGGAATCAGTATTGACCCTCAAACTCACTCTTCTGTGTCCCTCCCGGTCTCGTCCACTCCCCTCCACCTCATCCAATCACTGCTCTTTCACGCACTACTTCTGTCTCAGCTGCTTTGGCTGGAGGGAGAGAAGTAATGACTCCAATGTGCCCTCCACCGATGGAGAGTTTTGGAGAGCAGAACTGCACCCTGCACTCTCTTCTCCTGAACCAAGGGTGCTGAGACTTCAAAGCCAAAAAAGAAATCTTGAAATCTTGACCGATGCTTCCCACTTTGCCCAGGAATTTCTCAGTATTAGCACTGAAAGGCCCATGTCCCTCCAAACCCTTCAGTTACGAGCAAGCTGGGATGGTCGATCACCTTAGCGTTGACCTATCTTTATACCAAAGCTGTCGCTTCCCAAGCCTGGCCTTTTATCATTCACTCATACACTTAAAGTTCTGTGTAAAACAAAATCTGCCTTTTCTCTTTCTCTGAAATAAGTCAGAATTACTACACCCCAGGGAAAATTTACTTTCCTATTGCCGATTAAGTCAGAATGAGTCACTTTTCTTCAGCCACTAAAGCTCAGTAGGAATTCTCCAGGATTAAAAACAAACTTATTTAGAGATAAGCTCCTGATTCATGCAAGACACTGCTTCACTGGGAAATTATGCAAGCAAGGCTGACTAAGCCATTCAAATGGGACTGTTCTTAAAAATTTAAACCACACATTTCTTCTAAATTTGGTTTCTTTGGAACTCTGCAGTGAACACTAGGCACATTTGGAGGGTGTTAAGTCCAGAGATGGAATCCAAAGAGTTACATTAAAAAGAAGCACCACGAGGGAACAGATGTGGGTTACCTCTGACAGCTCACCAAGTAATTGCTATTAGGAAAATGGAGCAAATCACATCACAGGAGAAAGTTAACATGGGAGAGAGAACTAAAATAACATCAATTATAATTCACATCAAATATCGGAAAACGTTAGCAAATTAGTTTTTGACGCTAACATTACCTGCCCACAAATCCAGCAGGGAAGGAGCCTGTAAATCTGTAACTTCCAGCACGCTTACCTGCCACGGCAAACTAACCGCATCGACTCGCATGGCAGTGTCAGCCCTACAGAGCACTTCTGTGTTTTTAAAATATTAAGATATAGGTTCACCCTATTCTTACAGCATATAAAGAATACACACAGAGTGCATTGATTATAAGGTGAATTCTTCTGTGAAGTGGATTTTACAAATGGAAATATGTATATATGCTTTAGTGAGCTTTGGCTTTGAACTCGTAAATAGTCTAACAGGAAATTGTATAATTCTGTACAGGTGCATGCTGGGTGGTAATTTATATACAGATCAATATACAGGGGTGGGCAAAAAAGGAGGTTTACATTTTAATACAAATAAAACCATAATTAACAAATAAAAATACAAGAATAAACTGTGTTTTGCCTGCTCACAACTGTACACATACTTTTGCCCACCCCTGTATATACAGATAGAATTTGTAAAAATGCCAGCATGTGAGGCAAAATAAAAAGTAGCCATCCTCGTCTAAAAACCACACCTCTAATGAATAGATGAATAGAGTGCTCTGAGCTTAATTTAAATGCTTTTAAATAACTGGATATTATCAGTTGGTCTGCTGGGATGAATATGAAGGCCTTTTACCAAAATGGTCACTTTCTGTCCAGCAATATCTGAATGTCTGGATTGAGCTAGAAAAAGAGCATTCAAAGCAGTCATAACATGAAATTAGTAGAGCTAGTGGTTTAGCAGTTACCTGCAGAAAATAATGCCACTTTTAATTTAGGGCTATTTATACATATGTATAGAAAAATAAGGCCCTGGCCAGTTAGGTTCAGCGGTTGAGCGTTGGCCTGCAGACCAGAGAGTCCCGGGTTCGGTTCCTGCTAGGAGCACGTACCACAAATGAAAAAAAAAAAAAGAAAATTCTATATCTAGACTGGATTGTGGAGATCATGAAACTTGACCCCTTCCATTTCCCAGCTGAGCAAATTGGGGCACAGAAAAATAAAACGCTTTCTCTAAGGTCACACAGCTAGTTGGCACAGAACCAGGACTAGAATCCCTGTCTACTCATACCTAGATTGGGTATTATTTTTTTCCCACAGTATCATAACATCTCTTGATAAAAAATAAAGACAGGACAATTTCTATAGAATTCACAGGTTGGTCATAATTATTTGTAGCTTGACAGAGTCAAAATATTTATAATAATAAGCACATACACCTTATAAATAATAGTAAATGTAAGACCTCTTTAATGAAACCTTCGAGCATATTAGAAATAATGGGGGGGGGGTAGGTTTCTGCTCTTGGCACACAGCATGAGAATCTATATGGGCAAAAGGGCAATTCTAGCAGATGAATAGTCACAGAGCTAGAGATCTGGGAATTAAGTAAAAAGAAATACAGGAAACTTTATGTAGCAAGTGGATTTTAGGTAGGGACAAAGCAACCTGGATGTCCATCTGTTGCACAGCTAAAATACTGCAAAGCCCCACAGCACTCTATAACACAGTTCTTATCAAAAGCTAGGTCATTTATCTTCATTTCTCCAAAGTTTCTCATAAGCACTTAGTTCCTTTCCCTGTGGTTTCATTCAGTCTTTTTTTTTATGTTCCCTATCTTTCATAAATCCTTTATTATCTCCCTCCCTTTATGTTTAAAACTTTGCTAAAGCCATGGGGGAAACACATTAGGTGGCAAGGGCTGTCTTTACAGAGCTGTTAAAAATCACCCCAGAGGTGAGGATATTAACCAGGCTGATTCTCAGGGACAGCAGGCGGCAATTCAACACCTATTCACGACTGGTGCCAGGTACTAGCATCCCTGCCATCAGAAGGCAGTCTCTAACCCAAAGTGCGAACAACAGGCTGCTCTTGTCCTCTTCCCCCAGGGGCTGCCATTATTTATATATTTCTTTTTTACAGAAAGGCAACCAAGGTAAGAAAATAAGAGTCAGTCATGACGATGCATATTTCCCAAACACTGGGTGACCTATAGGTGTTCCATGGAAATAGTTTACATCAAATTTCCTTATTCCCACCATTCACAAAATATCTACACTCTACGTGAATTATATAATTTGAATTAGTTTCCTAAATGATAAAATTAAGGAATTAAAATCCAAAAAATAGATGCAGAAGGCAAAAATACGATCTGATCAACTTTTATCACAGTATAGTGCATGGTAAAGTTACTCTAATATCCCTTTAAGCACTCACACAGTGCAAAGCTGTATGTCTATAGAAAAATGAGCTGTCAGTCTTTTCTAAGCACTATTGCACATGCTAGCGGAGCATGTCAGAGCCTGGGCTGGGGGAGCATTGCACAGTCCTGGGTCCCAATCCTGCTTCACACAGCTGTGCAGCTCTGAGCAAGTTACTTTTCTGTGCCTTAGTCTCCTCAGATACTAAATGTGCCTTCTTCTTAAGGTTGTGGTGGGAATTAAATGAGTCAGTATTTTGTGATGTGCTTAAACCACACCCGGCACACAGCACGAGCACTGGTCACTGGCGTTATCTACCGTGGACTATAATACCATTGCTCTCTGTGAACGTGGAGGACGCACAGGCAATGAATCATAAGGACAGTAAGGGATACAAAATGTTTTTTGTAAGAAGTTTCTTCAAATTTCTTCGAAATTTTGGTATCATTGCGAGGGAGAGGCAGGGACAAGTGTGTCAGCCATTTCTGAGAAGAGTGAGGGTCACTGTTCCTAACACACAAGCACAGGGGGAGGACGGCAGGCATTTCTGAAGGATCTGTTCAGTGCCTGGCTTTCTGGCTTCCTTTTCATCAAGTGCAAGATGCTGGCATTCAATAAATATTTGTGGCATGAATAAATGAGAAGGTGACATAGAATTGCTTTTGATGTGTTTGTAATTCAGTGGAGTTCTAGGAGGTTAGGGTGTTAGGATCACTTGAATCTACATAAAGCCTCATTGTCATTCTGAAGGAAGCGGCAGAATTTTTTGTGAGCTAGTTTAGATAAAGGTATCTGCTAACACTATTGTAGAGATATAAAATGACTGACATATTCTCAAGGATGCTGTTTTTCCATCGTACTCTATCTAATCGCGTGTGTGTGTGTGTGTGTGTGTGTTATACAGGTTTCAGAATACAAATCCTTTCAGAGTAGTATTTATGCCCGATAGCAGAAGGCAGATCGTCAAGCTTGCTTATTAAAATTTTACAAGATTCTGGTGGTTTTGTTGGGCTCAGCCTAAAAATGTTCAGGAGGTGATTAAAAAAATAGATTGTTTTTAATACTGGGGCCATCAACCTACACACACACACACACACACACACACATACACATACACACATACACACAGCTTTTATACACATATCCACATACATCACTACATTCAGAGTTACATGCAGAACTTTTCAGAAGACAGTCGGATAGTGTTAAAAAGTTTAAAAGGGAGCAGCCCAAACAGGCAATCCTCACAGTTTCTGTTTACATAAAGTAGCAAGGCAAACTCCTGAAACTTGTGAGCACTTAAAAAACCTCTTGGTTGTGCCAAAGTCGACAAAAATATAAGATGAGGCTCTGTTCAAAAAAGGAGGGGCAGATTTTATGTTCTCACAGAGTACTCTCTCTACCTGAAATATGTATTTATAGTTTGGGTTCAATTTTAGACAGAAACAACCTTTAAACAGAAAAGTCAACTATGGCCCAAGCCAGGAATCAAAATTAAAAAAATAAAATAAAATAAAGACAAGCCTAAACAGTAAACAGGAAAAGGTAAGAGAGGTTAAACTCCTTAGGAAATCTCGGGGCGGGGGAATACTTACAATTTACATTATTTGTAAGTTTTGGATATTTTATCAAAGTTTGCCCATTCCTAGCAACCATGCACACAAATAGAAATAAACTTGGATAATTGTTTTTAACACCTAAAATATAAACTCTTGGCTTCTGCTCACATACAGCAACTCGGGGTATCCTTGTAAATAGTCCGTCATGAGTTAAACATTAAAAACAGTCTATAGAACTCAAAGGGGATCGACTCCATCACTGTTTTGGGCCCACATTTCAAGTATACACTCTTTAATGCTCTTTAAGGAATTCAGTGAAAACCTCTATAGGAAAGAACATGAAGAATTAGCATTTGTAAACCAGACAGAAGCCTCTATTATGTCCGGTAACCACATCTCAAAACCAGAAAAAGTAAGAACTTAGGAAAGAAAAAGGTATTAAAACCAAGTTAGAAAATTCACTTCAAAAATCCAAGCGAAACAGAGTAGATCATACCTTGAATAACTCAAACTCCTTCTTTGGCATCAACAGCTAATGACAAACAATGAACATACAATGAGTACAAGATACATGTTCACATCAGGCCAAAACATAAGCACAGCAAACAGATTTCTGCTAACTGTACACTAATTCTTTATTTTAAATGTTTATTTGATTCGGGGACCCTAAGGTCCAACGTCAGTCTGCATAAGCGCGGCCCTCCCGAGGCTCGAAGGCCACGAGGAGCCAGGAGTACTTAAATGGATGGTCTTAGCAGCACATGTCCGCAACTCGAGGTCTGGCCTCTCTGTGGTTTACTAAACCTCGGCATGAGAATTAGCTATTTCACAGCATATTCTATGTAGCTTCTGCTTGACTGTATGATATAATCTTTGGCTCAAGATTCTGAAAACTAAATGAATTCTTCCCGGGGACATGAGAGAGAAGCCACCACAGGCTCAAGACTACTCATGGGACAGTCCACCCATCCTGCCTCTGTTGGATCTGACGCTAGAGATCCTGTCAGACCGAACGTCCCAACACTTGAATAGCAAGTGAATTCAAATGTTCGAGTGCATGAGATGACCAGGATCACGTAAATTCTGGAACTATGGCATCGGACTCGAGAATTTTTCAATAATCAAGAAGAGAAATCCTGAACCACACAGTCTATAGCTTAAGTACATTTTACTCTTAAAATCAGGAGAGGAAAAACGAAGAAATTCTCAGGTGGAAGGTGAGAGGAGTGGGAGTTCAAGGTCGGTCGGTGGCAGAACATTTCAGAGAATGAGGGAAAGTCTGGTGGAGGTGAACTGCCGGGCCCTCCAGCCAAGGACTCAGCACCACTGTGGAACAAGAGTGAGCCACAGACTAGAGGGCTATGGGTAGGAGTGAAGAGGCAGAAATACTGTTTCTCCAAACATCAGGAACATTGTAGAATGAAAAAAAATAGTATTCAGAGAAATAGTCATTTACTGGTAAACATTTTAAGCAATATCCTCAAGATTTAAACCATAAAAATATGTATAATTCTTCTCTATGTCTCTCACCAGTGCCCCGGTAATACCCTAGAAAAAAACTGTATAACTTGTACAACCGATTAAATCTCAAAATGATGAAGACACAAAAAGTATTTAAATCCTATTTAAGAGTGATGAATGTTAAAATGTGTTCAAGTTAGATTTTGCTCAGAAATCAGTTACCTGTATGGTATGTGTGTACGGTGGATCGGCACGCCCTAATCCAGATTCTGTAGGTCTCACAATATCCAAAATGTTATTTGGCACAAATCCAGATTCTCCATTTGCATTTCGAACTTTCCACCATTGCTTCCTATCATCCAGGATCTGTCATTGGGCAAAAAAATAAAGGTGTCATTTCTGCAGCCGAACAAATCCATGAAGAAAGTTCAGTTTTTATTCTGAGACCAAGAAACATTTTTAACTTCTAGTAAATTGACATAGCATAAACATGTTGTGGAATGAATGAGTCTTATGAATTACACTAAGTATTACAATTATTAGTACAGAACAGGCATAGGACCACTATCATGAATCTATCCAAGGTCTATGTTACCTCTCAAAAATGTTTATATGCAATATAGCTGAAGTACTTATAGATAACTCAGACGACTCAGTTGGAAAGTTCTACATGTTGTCTCTGTCCTTGGAATAAAAAGGAAAAGTATAAAAACCTCATGTTGGTGTTTTTTGTTTTTGTTTTGTTTTTACAAAAACTGCTGTGATTATTATCCCATATTATAATTTTAAAAGATGGACATTCAGTTACAAACTAAGGAAAGAGACTTTGGGGTCATGGCAGATTATTCCCACAACCTTTAGCTCACTTGGTGCTGGGTATATTGGTGTCAGGGTACTAGGATAGGAAGAAGAACAGTGTTTTCTCTTATTAAAATAACTATGGTACATCTACATGTGAATTGATAACTAGCTCTGATTCCAAAATGAATAAAGCCCAGAAGGAAGAAGAGGGCAAAATAAGCCAAGAAACTCCACCCCACCCCACCCCCAAAAAGAAATGAACTGACCACGAACAAATGTACAGTAGCTTCCCTTCCTAAATAGATACAGGTATCCATAATATGCTCTACCCGTGGTAAAATAGTGAAGAATAATTTCTTGACCTCAACATTTCTTTGAGAAAAGTTCAGGTATATACCAAAAGAGGAATATAATAAATCCACTTCATTAAAAGTATATAAAGGTAAAAATCTACTACCTCTAAAATATCATCCTTCAGAACTGAGAGCTCACTGTTGTTCCTTGCCACAAAGTCGTACTTGGATTTGGCATATTTCTTGGGTTGTGTTATGTGTGGATCATAATTTCTATAAAAAGAAAAAAGAAAGTTTATTCTTGTAGCTCTTCCTAAAGGCTAAACACAGAAGTAAAACACTAAGGCAAGTCAATTCTTACCTGGAATAATTCTGAAAAATTATTTTGACAGTAGTTCAGCTTTATTACATTTTGTAGAATATGAACGTTAAAAAAACTTTGGACTTCTTGCTATTAAAATGAACAAACTATGACCAGGGCAAAAGTAAAAAATGCAGACTCACAAGGCTAGATGGTACTAAGCCAAATCTAGAAGTCTATGAATTCTTTAACCGCTAAATATACATTCTAGATACTGCTTTGTTAATCAGCTTCTCTATCATGAAAGAATTAGGATAAGGATCAATGTTAGCATTTTGCATAGAATTAAGGGAGACTGAAGATAGTTTCCATAGTGGTAACTTAATTTATATGTTGACTTCACTAATTCAAGCAGTATGTTCAATTTATTAACCAAATATATATTTACAAATTATGACTAACTGTCAATTTTTAGGAACGGTTTACCCAGTTATCTAAATTGCAAGAGAAGGTATGGATTAAGTACAAATCAACACAACTTCCTAATTAATTAACTAATTCATTATAAGCTTATTTTAAAATAAGTTTGAGTTCTATATTTAAAAAGTAACAAGCGTTCTTAAAAAACCAAATACTTTTTAAATAATCAACTTACCATTATTAGATTTAACAACACAATTAAAATATGTTTATATATAATACAATAAAGTCTGTATGTATCAACAATGAACTAATATTGTTTTCTTCATTTTAATAATAAAATAACTTTAACTGTTTTGAATTAATTTTACTCCCTAATCTTCTCCTCCATTCACATTCCCACAATTCCTTTCACATCTCTACAACATAAAAAGCAAAAGGGGCTAAAGATCGTTTATCATCCTTCTCCTATTAAAGTGGCCATTTTTCTTGCTGCTCACCAAGGTCCTCTGGAATAATGAGTCACAGCAGGGTCGGCAAGACAGTTATGAACACAGTGTATCCTGTCACCATAAGTAAATGGTTCTTCTTAGATAGGAACTCCAGAGCAAGAGGGTCAGGGACAAAGAAAATAGATGAATTATAAGATATGCTACCTACTGACTATTCTTGGTATATTAAAAAAATGAGAAAAAATGAAATTATGGTCAAGTAATTATTATATATTAGTAATAAAAATTTTAAACTGTGTTCCGTGGCTTTCCCATCCCTATCTCTATGATCAAATTCTATCAAGATTTCATTTCTTTGCTGTCTTGCATGCCTCATAAGTGATTGCGTAGCATGCGCTTATAAAGTACTTTAGAATTTCAAATCTTCAGTTTCTCATTTTCTATAGATTAAAGGTGGATATCACACTGATCATAGCTATCAATATCAAGCACACCGTCAGATTTTTTAGATGTACCAAAGTTTCTTAAAAGACCTAAAATGTATAAAAATGATATGGTCTCTATTTCTGATTTAGAGTAATATGCAGACACTTAACAAAGAGTACACATGGACAGAGCAATGACCTGAGACTTCTCTAAAACACTCATTGCTTTTCAATGGCAGTAATCCCTCCAAGGTGAGGGCTCTGAATTCAATAGCTGATTTTTCTAATGACATAGTAATTTCACTGAAGAGTGAATATACTTCATATGGAGTTTACTGCATTCCTGTCCTGGCATATAACAGAGTTTAAGATTAATAATAATTATTATAAAAACAAAGTTCCAAACCTCTGTGTATTTCATATCAGATGAGAACTTTCAGTTTTTGCAATAGTGATGACAGATTTTTTAGCAACACAGATAAATCAATGATCCAGGTATCTATCAACTATCCAGCTCCTATTTTAACAGTCCAGCCGAGAGACAGGATCCATAAAGACAACTGAGTTATACAATCTACCCACCACTCAATGTATTTATAAAAAGGTCTTTCTCTGGCTAAATTTTGGTAACTCTAAGATTTATACACTTGAATATCTCTTCATGGAATTTCCATCACTAAATTCCATTTATATTTTTTATTCATCAAAGTTTACTTAAATAAAACTTATGCATTCACCACAGCATTCTCTAAATGAGGTAAAAATATATCTTTAAAAATAGTGTCCCTTACATCACCTGCAATATCCTATATAAAGTTCCATGAGATAAATGTCTTTGAGGAACAGCCTGGAAACTCAAAGACAAATTAGAAATTCAATCACAGGGTCAATCTATACTTCAATAATTTTAATTCTCATCCTCTCTCTTGATTTCTTAATTTTTTATCGTATTTCATTATCTAATTTTAATATTAATATTATTTTAAGTGCATATAATTTAAATGAGCTGTCTAAATCCATTTTGAAAGTAGATGGGGTACAGAGATATAACTAGATTAGCAAGTCAAAGGTCAAGTCCCCTGCTATTCTACAAAGATAAAGGTAAATGTTGAATCTGCCTCAGATGAATGGCAGAGGTCTTCCAATCAGAGATGGTACAGACCTTATAGATTTGCAGTTAAAGGACAGAGAGGTAGTGACTCTGAAATGTTGGATTCACTATCAGATACTCATTCAGTCATTTAATAAATCAATCAGATAAGTCTACACTGGGAAGAGATAAACCAAGGGAAAAAAGTCTACAAACACATTGAGCGGCCACAATGTGGTCTTAGAACATGATAAAAGTTTTCTAGTATCAATAGGTAATACAAGTCAACACACATGAGAAATGTACTGAAGTTGTTTTCTAGTTACCTAGCTGTGAAAAACCATCCCAACTGATTGGAGTTATGAAACAAAAAGAAAATGTAAGAAGAATCACTAATCTGAAAAACGTCTTCGTTATTAACAACGATGACAGAAACAAAGGAAGAAGAAAGTATTAGGATAAGTAATGTGTTAGTCAAAAGGAATTTCAATGAAATAACTTTTAAACTTTAAAATTGATTTTCACATATATCTACTAAAAATTGAATGTAGAATTAAAAAGTATTTCGTATGTTGTCATTTTCAAAATGTATTATTCACTGCTGACTTTTCTTTGCGTTCAATTTTATGTTAGTACCCACAGGATAACGCCTGTATAATTTCCACACCACATTAGTTAAGTATTAACTCTGTCATTATTCCCGACAGAAAACAAAAATTGTATTATTATTATTATTATTATTTTCTTTATTGATTTTAGAGAGAGAAGAAGGGAGAGGGAGAGGGAGATAGAAACATTGATGAGAGAGAACACTGACTGTCTACCTCCTGCATGCCCCCCAACTGGGGATCGGCCCACAACCTGGACATGTGTCCTGACCGGGAATCAAACCGGCAATCTCTTGGTACATGGGTCAATGCTCAACCACTGAGCCACATCAGCCAGACAGAAAACGAAAATTTTAAATCCTACCTTCTTTAGATTCTGTTAAGAGCATACTGAAATAAATAAATAAATAAATAAATAAATAAATAAATAAATAAATAAATAAATAAATAAATAAATAAATGGCTTGCAGTACCCGTAAGGCTTTGAGGTAGGAAAGAACTAGAACAAGTTCTCTACCCCACCTCATCTAATCATTCTCTCATGTCTTTGTTACCAATACTTCATCTTTTCTTTGTCTTATTATCTGGGTTGGCCTCTATGTCAACCTCATTTGCAGTGGTTGAACAAGACTGAAAAAGTGAACCTATTCCAATTCTTTTATTTCTTCCCCATTTCGATTTCCCATCTCTGCCTATGTTATTTTTTTAGGAGAGAAAACATGGGGAAATAAATGAAATGTAAAACTGGAAAGAAAGAATAAAATACAGTAAGATGAAACGGCAAAAATGACAAATAAGGCATTGACTCCGTTTAAATATTTAGTTTATCTTTAGTTTAAATATTTCCATCTAAAGGAAGGTTTGTTTGTTTTTGTTGGAGGAGAGGAAAGATGAAAATTATTTCCTTTAAAAACTACAGAGCTGGGAAAATCCTTAGAGACCATCTGGTACAAACTAGCTGAGAATTTCAAAACCTTTCTTCTTAATTCACAGATTTTGTCAGAAGCATCTTTTTAAGAAGGAGAAGTCATCCAAAGGCAGTTGCACTAGTTAGAATTATAGCCTGGAGGTCCCCCAGTTAGAATTATAGCCTGGAGGTCCCCCAATTAGAATCAGAGCCTGGAGGTCCCCCAGTTAGAATTATAGCCTGGAGGTCCCCCAGTTAGAATCAGAGCCTGGAGGCCCCCCAGTTAGAATCAGAGCCTGGAGGCCCCCCAGTTAGAATCAGAGCCTGGAGGTCCCCCAGTTAGAATCAGAGCCTGGAGGCCCCCCAGTTAGAATCAGATCCTGGAGGTCCCCCGGTTAGAATCAGAGCCTGGAGGCCCCCCGGTTAGAATCAGAGCCTGGAGGTCCCCCAGTTAGAATCAGAGCCTGGAGGTCCCCCAGTTAGAATCAGAGCCTGGAGGTCCCCCAGTTAAAATCAGAGCCTGGAGGCCCCCCGGTTAGAATCAGAGCCTGGAGACTCTGTTCATCAAAGCCGGTTCTAAAAAGGAACAACTGAAACTTTATCCGAAGACTGACAGATGGAAAGTTTAAAGAAGTAGTGAACAATGCAGACACTGGTACCTCTGTTTGCACTAAGTCAGAGACAGTCACCCACAACCCTCCAAACAATGCCCATGCAATATTACCTATCTACGTGGCGGTTAGGAGGTGGCTTAAAAGCAACAGCAGCTTCCCCTTGGTCCAGATGGGGCCCTCTTGTGTAAAGGTTACTGGATGCATACCCATCAGGTGGAGGTGGAAGATACTCTGATACACTGGATTGCTGAAAGACAGAGAAGGAGAGATTAAAGAATCACCAACATTAATTAATTGAATGAGCACTGACGTCAATCAATAAGAACACTCTGCTATACTGTGATCGGTTTTATTTTCAAGTGATTGACCATGAAGTTAATCAGTTATGAAATGGTATAGAGACATTTTGTCCAAGACCTACTTATAAAAAGATAATTAGAGCAAAGGCTAAATCTTAAATCTGGAAATATCCAGGTATACCAACAATACAGGCATAAATAACTCAGAGATACTGTGGGTTTGGTTCCAAAGCACCACAATAAAGCCAGTATTACAATAAAGCAAGTGGTGAAGGGTCTGGCCTTCTGTTTGTAAAACACACAACATCTGTGAAGAGCAACAGGAGAGACACACTAACGTGAGGCACACTTATGACTTCTTTCCTCGGGCATTTCAGTAACAGGTGATTTTAGCAGTGGGCAGACTTTAACAGCTTGTATAGAATAAAAGTAGTTTAAAACAACAACAAAACCTTTAGCCCTTGCTTTCTATGTTGAAGAAATAGTCCTTTACCATGCTAGCAAGGTAAATATTATCACAGGAAAATCATCTGAAATCAGTACATTAAAATTATACCACCCTCTCATTTCTTCTTTTTTAAAAAAATGTACACAGACACTATTATTATTTTTTTAAATAGCAGCACTATTATCAGATTTACTGTTAAGGAAAACACAAAAAGACAGAAACACATTGACCTTAACGGTCACTAGTCTAGAAGGAGACCACGGTGGAGTCTCTTCCTTTCACAGTTACACTCAGACATGGGCTTACTGGGCTAACCACGAGGAGAACCGAGCTCTACGGTTCTCACTGAGCAGCATGGTTCTAAAGCCATAGGGGGAAACAAAGAAACAAAAACATTCACCTAGAGATTTGGTATTGTTACCTTACATAGTGTGAAGTGTGGGGGATGCATGATAGACACTGAAGCACTGGAAGTCCTGGGCCATTTCAAGTGTTTATGTATTCACTGGGGCACAGTATTTGAAAATGGGAGTGTTTTAGAAAAGTACTGGACACATGTGTACTCTAGTTATTTCTAATGACAAAGTTGGCAGGAGTAGGGCTGAGTTTACCCACAGACAGAGCAGATGAGGTGTCTCCATGGACCAGTGCTGATGTTGAAACACCCACATTACATTACTCCTGTGGACTATATCAGGACGCAGCACTTAACACAAATAAAAATAAACACTTTTCACTGTTTAATCACCCTAGCAAACCATCAGCAAAGTGCAAAGGTAATCTGTGAAATGGGAGAAAATATTTGCAATCTGTGAAATGGGAGAAAATATTTGCAAATCATATATCTGATATGGGTTAATAGCCAAAATATATAAAGAACTCATATAACTCAACAGCAGAAAACCACAAACAATCCATTTAAAAAACGGTCAGAGGAACTGAATAGACATTTTTCCAAATAAGTCACGCAAGTGGTCAACAGGTATATGAAAAGGCAGTTAATATTACTAATCATCAGGGAAATGCAAATCAAACCACAATGAGATACCACCTCACACCTGTTAGGATGGTTGTTATGAAAAAGACAAACGATAACAAAGTGTTGACAAAGATGTAGAGACAAGAAAACTCTTCTGCTGTTGTTGGGGATGTAAAGTGGTATATTCATTATGGAAAATGGTATGAAGGTTTCTCAAAAATAAAAAATAAAACCACTATATGATTCAGCAGTCTTACTACTGGGTATATTACTGAGAAAAATAAAATTAGGATCTTGAAGAGATATCTGCACCTTGATGTTCATTTCCGCATTATTCATAATAGCTAAGATAGGGAAACAGCCTAGGTGTCCATCAACAGATGAGTAGATAAGGAAGATGCGGTATGTATATATATTACAATGGCACATTACTCAGCCATGAGAAATAAGGAAATCCTACCATCTGCGATAACATGAATAGATGGATCTTGAGGGCATTATGCTAAGTGAAATCAGCTGGAGAGAGAAAAAATAATTGCATGGTATCACTTACATGTGAATCTTTTAAAAGAGTTAAAGTCATAGAAACAGGAGAAATGTGGTTGCCAGGGGATTGGGGAAACACAGGGAGGTTGGTGAAAGGGTATAGACTTTCAGTTATGAACTAACAGGCTGAGGATCTAATGTAAAACCTGTTGACTATAATTTGTAACACTGTGTTGTGCAATTAAAATTTGCAAAAAGAGTAGAACTTAAATGTTCTCAACAACAACAAAAAAGATAAACAGATATGTGAGGTGACAGATGTGGTAATGTGTTAATTAACTGGATGGGGACGCCTTCCACTATATATCAAATCACTACAACACACTGTAGCGATACTTTATGTAAATATACTATTTTTTGAGGTCAATTACACCTCAATAAAGCTGAAAGATGAAATAAAAAACAAATGGCTTAATTCATTTCCCTAGGAGAGAGCAGAGGAATTAAATGATTAGGCAAGTTCTTATTAAAGGCTGTCATAAAGGGAGGAGTTCATGAAACTGTTAGCGTCAATCACCCACACCTCTTGCCCAGCTCGGAACACAGCTGAGTGAGGTCAGCCAGTATGACATCAGTGGGACTGAGTATGACTGGGAACATTCGCAGGGAGAGGGCGATGATGCCAGTGACCTTGACTACACGACCTGCAGCACTGTGCCGGCTCAGGAAAGTACGGACGCTGAGTACTGTCTCCCTGTTTGTCACTCCAGTTCATTGCGCCTTTTGATTCTAAACAGAACCTGAATCATCTAAGTCTTGTCCTGAGTATATTTATAATAGTAGCAATAAAGTATAATAAAATCTCTCTTCCGGGGATGATTGCAATTTTTATGCATTTTATATCACCATAACTTGGCTTTTCCAACAAAATCTTAGGGTATAAAATTTCCTAGAACTGTTAGCAGGCACCTTTAATTTTCTACTTTAAACCTCTGAATAAGGACATAAGCCATAAAATGAAAAACAATTTACAACAGGAAAATGATAACTCATTATAAGGAATGATTCTCAATAATTCTTATTTTAAAATTACTTCCTCAGTGAGAGTAGAAAAATTTTACACTGGAAGCCCCGAATACGTTACCCTCTCTTTAAATATAAAAATTGAAAAGTAACTCATAAAAGAGAACTCACAAAAGTGAATTTATGAGGCATAATTATAAAGCAGATGTATTTTCTTATTTAAGATATGAAGGCTGTAAGCTGGAAATGTCTATAATTTGAAAATAGTCAGCTGTAGCTATAGCAACAGCAAGTGTATCATCATTTCATGTTTGATTACATTCTTTTCTTCTAAAAGTGTTGCCTTCTATGAGGAAAAAAATCATAGTGATGAGGTTTGAACTATAAAATTATGGACAGGGACATATGCCTGCCAACCAATGCCCAGAGCTATGAAGTCATCTTCTGAATCACTCAATTAGTGGGAAGGGCAGTTATGGAATCCACCTATACTTTTATATACAGACAGAGGGGGAAAAAACCAGTAACATTTGAAAAAAATTACTTTCAAAGCAGTATGTTTGCTTTATTTTGAAAGTTTCAGAATTTAACCAAGTTTCTATAATATTATGGTTATTGTCCAAAGAAACAATTTAAAGAAATTTAACTTATATACATTTTTCTCTTTAAAAGTGGGGATTTAGTCTGGTTTGGTAATTTATTCATTGATACCATATTTGCCACATTACAAATACCCACAGCAGTCCAAGAAAATTGATCTAAGAAATTAAATAAAGGAAATCAACATGACTTCAAGGAGGATCTAGTTATCATTTACTGTTTCTACTTCAAACTAGACTTCATTCATCTAATTCCTTGGTTCTATTCACCCTATTCGATTTGGTTCAGCATTGAGGAAAGTTTAATTTTCTTTTCTGACAGAACAAGAAGAATCACAGAAAGATCATTTTTAAGGAATGTAAAGAGATAACATAACATACCCAATTTCAAGCTCTTCATTTGCTCCTCAAATAAGTTTAATTTACTCTGAAGCTAACTGAATATATAAAAGATACAATAAATTTTATCAATTCCTGAAGGTGTAATAGTGTTATAAATGAGTATTGGAAGCTGGGACTTCCTTTTGCCAGGCTGATAGGACTCAAGAAGTTTAAAAATAGGCAAAAAGAAAAAGAAAAAAAGGAAGGACGGAGGGAGGGAAGACAGAATTGGGGCTCTCAGGAAAGAGCTGCTTGGGACAGGCTCAGAGAACCTGGGTTCTGGGAGTGTCTTGAGGGTCTGGTGACGGGAGAGGAGAACAGAATAAGCCGAGTGGCAGCAGGGCTATTCCCCGACAAGGAGAGCAGGTGCACCCTTCGAGAAGACAGGCCAGTGGGGCTGGGGGAGCTCAGGGGGGATGGAGTGCAGGGGCTGGCAGGCTGGAAAGAATGATGTGAGTTCATGCTGGAATTCACAGGGAAACAGCAACCATCACCACAATGACAAAGAGGTGAGAGGGAGGTAACTAAGGGCAGCAGGACGTTTGATCACTGATTCTAGAACAATCTTCAGATAAAATGAGAACTCACAATCAGAACTACAAGAAAATGCACAGATCATTTCATTTTTCTGCAAAAGACAGGTTAAAGCAGCTCTACCTCTGAGGGGTATCTTTTTGTGTCACGTCTGTGTTGATGCTCCGTGACGCTGGCCCCTGTGCCAGCCAGCGGATAGAGGTCTTGTTCCACCGGAGCCCCCATGAAGTTCAGCAGCGGGGGCTCCCAGCCATTGCGGAACCGTGGCACATACGGTGGAATGAATTGCTCTTTTCCCCACTCTGCTCTGTAAAAGGACATTAACACATACCAAAAGTAAAATTAAGGAGTGTATTCATGCTCAAGATTATCTTTAGTAAGGCTAGCCATAAAACATAAAAACAAATGCATAAAACAACAAAAGAACGCATACCTAATCGGCTCTCCCGCCACAAAAAAATATAAACTAAACATGTTCATATTCATATTTCATACATATAAAATAAAAGGAAGACTGAATTCTGCTTCATTACCTGTTTTCACCACCATGCCTCAATTCCCCATTAATTCAACTTTTAAACATGGATATAGGTTTTCAAAAAATTGGGAAGGGAATGTGAAGCTAGAAATGTGCTAAGTATTTAGAACATAAACTTCTCTAGTATCTAAAGAAGTTTCAGATCATCATCTTTCCCTTCATTTCCCTCCCATCATTATGAAATCTCCTGAGATTAGATGTATTTTTCAAAACAGCAGAGAATGCTCTTAAGTTTCATGATTGTTTAAGTTATGAAGTCCCCTAAAATAAAACATTGCCGATTTTGTAAATTAAATGTAACAGCTACATTTTAATCAGTAAAATCAAGTTAGACCTAGTCTGTAATCATCATTATCCAATCATTATTGAATGACTCTGACTGACAGTTATTTCTACAGGCTCCTAATCACTCATAAACCATAAAAATAATTAGAACAGAAATTATGGCTTCATTTCTGCTAAAATATGTTGTTTTATCTTTCACACCTGATTTAATTCTTCAGATTATATTTCTACTATGATAAAATTAGCCTTTGCGTTCAGATTATCATGATTATTTTCATCTTTATGAGTTTTTAAGTCAGTATACTCATTTCCTAATAGTCTTAGAAATTAAAATATCTTACCTAGGCTTATCATAAAATCACAATCTACATTAATCTAGTAGATTTAAGAAGTCCAGTTAATCAGTTTTTACATAGTATGATATATAAATAGTACGGTATAGTGTGTCATATTAATATATACATAACATAAATAAATTTAAATAGTATTTTCAATATAAAAACAACAACTGTAGTACATTTAAAGAGTTTTCTGCTTGCTCAACAAACTTAAACATTGCAGTTGTTAATTATTCATTTCCCATAATCATTTTATTGACAAGGTACAATCCTTAAAATTAATCCCTCCTTTCTATTCCCACTTCCACAGTTCTAATCCTGGATGTGCCTTTGGGTGGTAAAAACACAATGCAATATACGGATGATGTATTACAGAACTGTACACTTGAAACCTATATAATTTTATTAACCAATGTCACCCCAATAAATTGAAGTAAAAATGTTTTAAAAAATGAACCTCTAATATAGCATTATCATCCCGAGGGGCCTCTTTGCCTGTAGTTACTTCTGTCCTGTCCTTACTAGATTCAATGACCAGAATGACCTTTCTAAAACATGTATGTGTTTATGTTACATTCTACTTCACAAAGTTATTGGTTCTCCACAGCTTAGAGAGCCTTGTTCCAAGCCCATCACGCGGCATCGAGAGCCTTCATAACCCAGCCCTGCTTGTTTCTGTACGCTTCATGTAACACATCCCTCCTCCCCGTTCTCCACAGCACCCGCTACCCAAAGTGTGTATTCCACATAAACCCATGTTCATACTCCAACCTCCTGACTACTGCTTCATGCCTTCCCTCGAGCCTCTCTCTCCACTGGGAAGGCCCTTTCTCTGCTATGTGTCTCTGGAAATCCTACTCATCCTGCTGACAGGCAGCTTAGCAAAAGAATTAAGACCACTGACTACAGGGCCAGATTACCTAGGTTCAAATCCCGGCTCTGCCCCTTGTGAGTTGTGCGGCTTTGGGCAAATTAGTAAACCTTTCTAAGCCTCAATTTCCTCATCTGTAAAATAAGAATAACAACATACCTGTGTAAAGTGAATGAAAAAGGGACTAGCAAACACTATATATATGTGTGTGTATATAGATTCATATATAGATATACTTAATATTTTAATTAAATGCCAACTCCTCTTTGAAAGCTAATTATCCTCCTCGCTAAATCCTCTTCCTGACTGTTCCCCTTGCCAACAAATAGCAGTTTGCTTATGAGTCACTTTGGCATTTATCATGCCTTATAGTCCATACTTTTCTATCTTCTCCGCTAGACTTTTAGCCTTTCATGGGTTTAGGCTTTTTCATCCATAACACCTAGCCCTTCATACATAGAAGGTTAAAGAAATGTCTTGTTAGATCCATGCAACGAACAAAGAACAACACTTAAAGCATTACAGGTATTAAATGCTAAACTCATATATATGTTTACCTGGCTTTCATCCAAGTTTCTCCCAGTGACATCCATAGCTGCCTTTCATCGATATTGACAGTATGATTTAAGAAATCAATTGTGTCTTTAGTCAATAGGGGACTGAGTACTGAACTGGCTAGTTCAGGACCTCCTGTTGCCTGCACCACCTGAAATGATAATAAATCATTTTTTAGCAAGAAGATGATGATTATTTGTGTATTTTGAAAAGCCATGCCACTGGTTTTATATGGTCAAATGAACTTTTGATGTTGTGCAATGCACTACTGCATGAAAAACAGCTTGCCAAATCATTTTTTCCAGCCCAACAGTGCCTAATAATCTAAAATTAAAAGTTAATAGTGTAACAGCTTTCACAGGAACTGTCTATTGGCTGCATATGACTGTACTTTACTTGGACAATTCTGACGTCTATCCAGAGAATTCTAAGTCAGATGGTTCAACCAACTCTGCTTGTTGTTGTTGTTTTGTTAATAGATGGATCTCTACTGGAAATCTATTTTGCCAAATTTGAAAATTTGGGTTATAGAAATGAAGATTATAGAGAGAAACATGCTCAAGTTAACAGCATGTTAACTTTGTGGCTGTGCCTACAAAGACATAAAAATAAAAGGAACTAGTGAGGAAGGTGAGAGAATAAGAACTGGTACTCTGAATCTATATCATTTTCCACAGAATTTAATTCCAGGGAACTGTGCTGATTTGAAGTGGATGATTTAATGACTAGCAGAAACAAATAAACAGGTGTAACTCCCTGATAAACAGTGATAATATATGGATCTCCAAAAACTGCTCCAAATTTACTCCTCGGGGGCTATTTCCTGGCTAAAGAACAGTAGTTATCTCCTAGAGCAGAAACCAGAGCCTTTTATAAAAATCTCACCTTCCCAGCGATATGGCACAAGAAGAAAGGAATTTTTTTTGAATAGTGCCAGACCAAGAGTCAGTTTCTCTCCAGTCACCCAGGTGTCTGAGCCTGCTACGCTGTTGTATGCCTCTGTGTATTTGCACATGCTTCTTCCCAGCTTCCCAGAAGGCCCTCCTCCATCATTAAGAACTCTACTCAGGAACCACCTCTTCTGGGAAGCCCCTCTTAACACCACATTGTAACTCTGATGCACCTCGGTGTCCCCAAAATCATTTATTCATGCAACAAATTACATTGTAACTTCTGCCCCCACCCAGTTTCTCTTCCCTTGAGAGCTTGGACCAAGACTTATTTGACTTTGAACTGCAGAAGACACAGTGTTAGGGAAATGAATGAGAACCAACAAAAGAAAAAAAATGAAGGGTAAGGGAGGCAGGCTCTTACTGAGAACAAAATCTACCTTGACAGCCTGGCACAGTCACTATTTACTTCCAAGCTCTATAAGCACTGCCAGTAAAGTGGCCGGGATGACGATAAGGAAAAAGTAAAGAAGCAGAGGAATATTAAAATCTTTGTGTTAATAGAGGGAAGAAACAAAACAAAAGCAGGTAGGTAAAAGACTGCGGGCAATGGTTCCCCTCCAGAAGGTGAGGAGGCACGTGAGCACACATGCTGTGGTCAGGTTGCATACAGACGCCGAGGGTGCACGAAGGGACTCAAAGGTGCAAAGCCACTGAACTTTGTCGGGCTAGAGGTCAGCCCTGAATATATGTTCCTGCCCATCTACAAGTAAAATGCCTGGGACTCTATAGGCAGGATGTTAAATGGAGCAACAGAGTATTATGATTGGGGAGATTATCAATAAGGATATGTTTGAGAAAATAAACATAAAATAAATCAACTTTCAGATACATAGCCTAATCAGAAAGACTAAATCTGCATGTTATGGAAACCAGCCCCATCATTTTATATTTCTACTCTGTGTAATGACTAGATATCTACTTATGATCTGTGAAAGTATGAAATGAGTAAGAGGAAGTGGCAAAAACTGCTTTATGAAAAGGACTCCCTAATACTCAAACTAAGATAGTATTAAATGTGTTAAGGAATAAAGAATATACATTTTCTTAATGAGCTAGTATCAGTTTCTTTGCACATGAATAGCCTTTATATAACTCTCTGAAAAGCTTACACAGCAAGAATTATTCAACTATAAACAGACAAGCAGAAACTGGATGCTCTCCATATAGCAGCAGCATATGGGAGCATTCATCAATCACTGGTGTAGTCTCGGACTTTCATCTTCTAATCTCTTATTGCCCAGATCTGACTTCATGCTGATAATGTTACTTACTTTCCTATGTGTGTAAAGCAATATCCACTTCATATTCTACTTCAGGTCCTGTCTAGTTACCCTTGGTGAAAGAAGAATGAGATTTATTCCTTTTTATTACTTGGATTCACTTTTCCCCCATTTTTTTCTGATATTCAAGTAAGAAAATGCTGCATTTGCTCCATTTTTGAGAAAGATTAAAGAACTCAATGACCATAATCTTCATGTGCTCTAAATCAAAAATAGTGAAATTTATCTGCTTCATATAGTTACTATTCCTACTCTTTTTAAAAAATCACAGTACTAGTCCACAGAGCAATACTAACAGTTATTACTGCTACTGTCATTCTATAAAGCAATCGTTTGCTCTTTTGACAGGGTGAATCTTAATCATGCCACACATTTCTACTTTAGCCAAAAAAACCCAGAAAACTGTATTCCTATAAGTTTTTAAAAGAAAGAGGTTCTGCCTTTAATCCCCTTCCGTTTCACTTGTCCTATATCAAATTTGTGGAATTATAGAAAAGGGTAATTTGTAGTCAAGTCTCTTTTTTTGCTTGCTTTGATTTTTTAATCCTCGCCCAAGGATATTTTTCCATTTATCTACAGATAGAGAGAGAGAAAGAGAGAGACAGAGAGAAACATCTATGTGAGAGAGACACATCAGTCAGTTGCCTACCGCATGACCCCGACCAGGGCCGGGGACTGAACCACAAATCAGCTACGTGCCCTTGACCAGAATCGAACCCATGACCCCTTGGTCCACGGGCCAATGCTCTAACCACTGAGCCAAGCTGTCCAGGGCCCAGTCTCTTTTGGATGTGCCTGCCTGTAAGGCCAATTGTTCCGTCTGCTTGTTGTTGCCATGCTTTTCCCAAACTTCAGCACATTCCTTTATGTACCCTTAAATATTATTCCAGCTCATTCTCCCAGCTCTCCTGTAGGATAAGGTGGTTGTGCCTAATGTCAGCTTGGGAAAATCACTACTATGCTATTTGTAAATATAACAAAGATAAAATTGGAAGGGGAGTACATTAGTGTGTCCATTTCATTAAATGTATAAGGAAAGAGCATACCTGGTTATTAAAAATCTAGAACAAATATTCCAAAAATTTATATGGAACCAAAAAAGACCTGAAGAGCTGCGGCAATCTTGAGAAAGAACAACAAAGTTGGAGGGATCATAATACTGGATAACAAACTATACTACAAGACCATTGTAATCAAAACATCCGGGTACTGGCACAAGTACGAGCATATAGATCAATGACACAGAACAGAGACCCCATAAATGGACCCAAGCCATTACATTAAATCAATATTTGACAAAGGAGGCAAGAGCATACAATGGAGTAAAGATAGTCTCTTCAATAAATGGTGCTGGGAAAACTGAATAGGTACATGCAAAAAATGAAACTAGACCAGCAACTTACACTATACACAAGAATTAACTCATCAGGAGGAAGGTGTCAAGGGAGGAAAAGGGAGAAACATGTGTAACAAAAATAAATTAATAATAATAAAAAAAGAATGAACTCAAAGTGGATAAAAAACTTAAATGTAAGACACAAAACCATAAAAATCCTAGAAAACATAGGCAGTAAAACCTCAGACTTCTCACATAGCAAAATTTTTGCCAATACATCTGCTAGGACAAGAGAAATAATATAAAAAATAAACAAATGGCACTACATCAAACTAAAAAGCTCCTGCACAGCAAAATAAACTATCTTCAAAATGCAAAGAGAACCCACTGTATGGGAAAATATATTTGCCAATGATACACCTGATGGTTAACTTCCAAAATATATAAAGAACTCATACAATTCAACAAAGGGAAGACAAACAGTCCCATTAAAAATTAGGGAAAGGACCTCAATAAACAATTCTCCAAAGAGGACATACAGATGGCCAATAGACAAATGAAAAAATGCTCACTGTCATTTGTCATCAGGGAGATGCAAATTAAAACTATAATGAGGTGTCACCTCATACCTGCCAGAATGGCTACCATCAATAAATCAACAAACAAGTGCTGGTCAGGATGTGGGAAAAAGGGAACTCTAGTACACTGCTAGTGGGAATGCAGACTGATACAACCACTGTGGAAAACAGTATGGAGTTTCCTCAAAAAATTAAAAATGGAATGGCCATTTGACCCAGCAATCCCACTTCTGGGAATATATCCTAAGAATCCCAAAACACTAATCAGAAAGAATATATGCACCCCTATGTTCATAGCAGCATTATTTACAATAGCTAAAATCTGGAAACAGCCCAAGAGCCCATGCATAGATGAGTGGGGAAAATAGTTCTGGTACAGTTACATAATGGAATGCTATGCAGCTGTGAGAAAGAAGGATCTCTTACCCTTTGATCCAACATAGAGAGACCTGGAGAGTTTTATGCTAAGCAAAATAAGCCAGTCAAAGAGAGATAAATATCACATGATCTCACTTATATGTGAAATCTAATGAACAAAATAGGTCCAGAGACATGGAAGCATGGAACAGACGGACAGTCTCAGAGGGAAGGGGGGAGGGAGAGCGGGAAGAGATTAACCAGAGAACTGAATGAATATATGCATAACCCATGGACACAGATCACAGTGCAGTGAAGGCCTGGGGTAGGGTGGAACAGGAGCTGGGTTGAGGGGGGCAAAAGAGGGGAAAATGGAGGACATCTGTAATACTCTCAACAATAAAAAAAATCTAGAAAATGAAGATATGTATCTTGAATCCTGGCCTATGACACAGGTGGTATAACTTTTCACTGGATAACATTCAGTTTTGTTTCTGATGCACCATTTTGTTAGCTTCAAAAATTATACCTTATACAAAATATACATGTATGAGAAGGATGTTTTCTGGGGGGGAAATTGTGTTATGTGAATATCACTATACCAGGAACAGAGTGTGTAGGCCAAAGGCTGCTAAATATCCCCTAGCGTCCGTTCTCTTCTTCCTTCTAGAAAGAGAAGCCTCTACATTTTAGATGGACACACAGCCGCTCGGATGGAAACTATATTCCTTTAGTGTTAGGTGTGGCCCATGAGGAAGTTCAGGCCAACTGGATAATGGTAGAATCAAAGGTACTTTTTAAAGACAAAGCTGTCTTTCTTTGCTTTTGTCTGGCTGTTACACAAACATGGAGGTAAATAGCTTCCACCCTAGATAGCTAACATAATTGCTCAATTCTTCCTCTTGGAAACATTTGCTACATTTGGCTTCTAGAATACCACAATGGTCTTGTGTTTCTTCTCCTGGCTTACTGCTTCTTCTCTGTCTTCTTTGCCGGTGCTTCCCATTCTCCTCCCACTGAAACTGCCTTGAGCTCCATCAGTCCTTGGTGACATCATCCAATTTCATGGCTTTAAATGCCTCCTATATGGAGATGATCCTCAAATTTATATCTCCAGGACTGATTTCTCAATTGAACTCCAACTCCAAATATTCAACCACCAGTTCAAGTTATTCCATTTGGATATAACTCAATTTTCACATGACTAAACTGAATTTCTTAATTCCTACAAAAACTCTTTTTACCCAGTCTTCACCATCTCAGTTAGTAATCAGCCCATCCTTCAGTCTTAGGCCAAAAGCCTTGGTGATATCCTTGGGTCTTGCACAGCACATCCAAACTACCAGCAGATCTTGTTGTTTATGTGGTTTATAACCAAAATCTGACTTCTTCTCCTAAGCTCGAATGTTACCTGGTCCAATCACCATAATCTCACATTTGGATCATTTTAATAACCACCCCAGTCCCTTCTTCCCCCAAATTTCTGAACATTGCAGTCAGAGCAATCCTTTTTTGCTAGAAACCCTTCAAAAGTATCAAAGGTTTCACAATGACTTACATGGATCAACAAGGTATGTCCGCCTGTTAATTTGCTGACCTCATATCCTTCTAGTTGAGATCTCATCCCTTGCTCTGTTTCAATCACAAACCTATTTATTCCAAGAACATGATTTGCATATTATCATCTAAGAGATTTACATTAGCTGTTCTCGGGAATTTTCTTCTTCAGAAATCCACATGACTCATTCCTCACTTTGCTGGCTCAAATGACACCTTTTCAATGAGTTGTTCCCTTAACCAACCGTATTCAAAAAAATTGTAAAACACACACACATAAACAAACACACATACACACATCCATCTAAAACACTCCCTGTTCACCTTCCCTGCTGTATTTTTTCACATTTATTTTTAGTGAACTATATTAGTTATTAATTTATTGAGGTTACTGTTTGTCCCTTCATACTAAAATATAAATTCTGAGAGGGTAAGAATTTATGTCTGTGTTGTTCCTGATGAGCTACTGATAATGCTAAGCTCATAGCAGGCCGTCAATTAATACTTATTGAACAAATAAATAAACGAACACAGAATTGAATCAGAGACAGCTCAGGTGATGGAGGAACACCTCAGTGCAAACAACCTGGGTCTCTGAACGACATCATGGAGCGAAGCCCTCCATTCAGTACTGAACTCCTATTTCCCAGCCTAATATGCGACAAAGAGAAAGATTTCTATGTTACTCAAGCCATTTACAATATACTACTGTATCCAATCAATCCAATCAATCTTTCTTTCTTTTCATTTCCCTAGCTCTGTCAGAGACATCAGTTTCCCCAGCTACAAAGTAAGGTGTTTGAAATACATGATTTCTAAGGTTCTTCTAAACTCTCAACATTCACAGTCTCAGTGTTTACACAGATGACAAGGTGGTCAAGAAAATCTGTCTAGATAAATCCGAACTGACACATGGGGTTCAAAACACATGCTGAAAACGATTACTTTCTTAAATTAACAAAAACTTACCATATTTAATGGAGTAAATAAAAAATGAACCAAATCGGTAGCACTAGGATTCTGAATATGAGATTTCAATTTGGCCTGTAACATTGAGAAAACAAACATATTACTATGATGTAATTGAGCAAAAGACAGACATTCAGAAATGTCCAACATAGATGAAGACGTCTTTAGTATTACATTTATTTCACTAGATTAATTAGCATGGGCGAGTCAGATTAGAAAAATTTAGTTTAAAAAAGGAGTACTTCTTTTTTTGACTCAAGTTGTTTTTATCAACTCTCTTATACACACATGTTTTACAATCTGTTTTTCTAATTACAGGCAAATAAAAACACCTAAAAAACCTACAAGAACAAATTTATCTCTTAATTTGTCAGGAACATCCTGACTAGACATTGACCTCTTTCCGTTGTTTTTTTTAATTATATGTAAATAAATTCCACTTACCAGGAGGTTAAATCCATGTTTAAACTTTTGAAAACAGTCAATAAATTCATCAGGAGGTGGAGGTTTTGCCCGCAGAGTTAAAACACCCTCTGAAGAAATAAGTAGGAGGAGGGGTAGATGAAAGAAAATGCCAAAAATAATACACAAAATGAACAAGTAAAAAAAATAAACATGCATTCGTGTTTGTCAAGTTTGATGATCACACCAGGTATCGTGCTCCCTACTCTACCATACCTCATAGTCTGATCATCACAGATTAAGATGATCTGACACTTGAAATGGATTCCTCTACCTTTAGCACCACCAAGTCCTCATTTGATTCCATAAATTCATACTGTAGCCCTTCTCACTGCCGGTCCCTGTGCTTCTCAGTGTGAAGACTATAAAAGTGTGTAATGTAACTGCAAGCCCTGCTCTTAAGAGCCTTAGAACCTGATAGAAGACATGAATTAGATAAATAACAAAGATATACCAACTAAGTGCTATTAGAACTGTACTGCAGCTGGTTGGGAGACAAATGCATTTCTAATAGATGTCTCCTGGGGAAAGCAGTTTTTAAGACGGGATTTGAAAGTTCTGTTCCAAGGCAGTTGGGTAAGAAAAACATCATCCTTGGATAAAAACAGCATAAGCAAAAACATGGGAAAAGGAAACTGCATGTACATGAAATAACAAACATGAAAGCAAAGAAATGTGAGAATGGGGAAGCAGATCAGGTTGGCCTGTGGAGGACCCTGGCTGCCCGGGCGAGTGAGGGGTGAACCTCAGCGGCAGAACATGGAGCAGGCTTTTTGCAGGAGCACGACTGCCCTAGAGCTTTGAGACAAGTATCCTCACAGACTAAGACTGAAGACTTGAATACTAGCTTGAAGCACATTCTGGTTATAAAAATGAAAAGGGAAAAATTGGATAAAAGAGACATAGAAAAAATAAAGTTGATATTGGCTACAAACTAGAAAATGGAGCCACAGAAGAATCTGTGGTGTCGAGTCTCCATGACTGAGGTGATAGTATACCCTTCCTAGAGAAAATAGGAGCACTAAGTGGTTTGAGACATCGGGAAGCAATACTACATAATTTCAGAACATACAGAGGTGAGGTATATACAAATATACACATCTGGGAGACAAGTCTATAGCTTATATGTTTATGATGTAGACATGACCAAGAGAAAGATCTGGAAGTCATGGGAAATGAAAGGGATATTTATTTGCTATTCTTTTCTATATTTCAGTCTATACTATTTTGTTCTATAATTATTATTTTATACACTTGGTGATATTTAAACAGCTGAACTACAGCATATTCAAAAACTATTTGTATGTGACCTGAATATACTGTTTGGAGTTTTGTGATTAAAAAGTTCAAATTCATTGACATTTGTATCTGTTTTAATGAAAAAAGTCAATCCTTTTATTTAATCCTTTCATTTAAATATATCATTCTATGTTTAACAAAATAATGAGGTTCTATATTTACAATAAAATTAATCCAAATATGAGAAGAATAGAGCTATGGGTTTCTTTAACAGAAATTGACTTTATAATCAATACAAACTCATAGTCACTACCTGAATTGCAGAGTCACTGTGATTTAGGTAAAGTATCCTAAAGTCTTTCTTTACTGTAGCTAATTTGGAACTAAAATGGACTCTTCCTTGGGCTCATCTTCGTCTCTGCCTAAATCTCTGGTGCTATCCCCAAACCAGAAAAGGAACCTTGGTTCACTGTCAGTGTTCTGCTCAGCAGTTCACAACAGCAGAGACTGGAGTTCTGACTGGTCTTCGGAAGATAAAGAATGTCCAACTTACCTCCTGGTCCTTTCCTTTTACCTTTCTTAGTTTTCTTCCTTTTAGAAAGCTCAGAAAATGCTTCAGCTGCTTTTTGAAGTTTTGTGATAAAAAATTCAATGTCATCCAAAATGTGGTTTAAGATTTGCTGAAATTTGAAATTATAGAATTAAGTATATAACAAAACTATTTTTGCCTTGGCTGTAAACAGTCAGTAAAGAAAAATCAGAAAGTTACAAAAAACAAACAAACAGACACTTTCTACATGCAAATTTCAAGTTTATCACTAATTCTAAGAATTGAACTAAATATACCTATGGCCAAAGTCTTACATTTACATTTTCCTTTAGCTTAATTTTGCTTTATTTTTAATACCATCAAGAAAGCATTCTAATCAGATCATCAATTATTTTCAATTACTCTGCCTCATAATGTTCTCCCACATAAAGTTAGGAGAAAATAATTCTAAGAAATATTTTGTTAGATAAGCACTGAGCATTTTTGTTTTTCTAACATATGCCTCAATAAAGTACCAACAATATTATTTAATGGAATTAAAGGTATATAAAATGTTGTGAAAAGCTTCTAAGACATAGATAATCTACAATAATGTGCATTAAGAAGAGTTTGTACATGGTAAAATAAAATTAATGATGAACTAAGCTTTTAAGGATCATCAGATCAATTTTCATTATCTCATATACTATAAATCTTAGTTGACTCTCTCTAGTTTGTGTGAAACTTGACATGCTTCTAATTCAAGACTAGAAACTGGGACTAAATGACCTTTCAAGCACAATAAGTAATAGTGTGATCTAAAAATTTAATTCCAAAAGTCAAATTCCTCTAAGTATTTGTTTCCAAACTGAACATTAGTATAGTATAAAAAGTAATTATCTTGAGATCATTTTTTATGATTATACCATAGAGCACTATAATTCTGCAAGTAAATTATTATGGAGAAATACAAATAAATATAGCCTTATCCTTTATAAGAAATTAAAATTTACATCTCTACCCTTTAAAATGCCACTTAATTTTTGTCTTTCAGGCATTATAAAATATTTTTAATAAATACTACTAAGACATTAAAATATTTCAGTTATGAATTACAAACTATGAAAAGACAAAAATGCCTCAAATCTGATAATTCCATTTAAATTCCTTTGTTAGCTCTTCTATCACTAATTAAAGACTTGCATAAAGTCTACTAGTTAAATATTGCCAGAAAGGCAAAAATTTTTAAGAAAAAAAAAATAATTCGCCCTGGCCGGTTTGGCTCAGCGGTTAGAGCGTCGGCCTGCGGTACAGAGAGACCCGGGTTCGGTTCCCGCTTAGGGCACGTACCTCGGTTGCAGTTTGTCCCCGACCCTGGTTGGTCGTGCGGGTGACAACCACTCGATGTGTCCCTTCACATCGATGTTTCTCTCTCTCTCTCTTCCTCTCTCTCCCTCCGGCTCTGTCTGAACAAAAAAATGCAAAAATGTCCTCGGGTGAGGATAAAAAATAATAATAATAATAATAGAGTGATACCTCGGTTCTCGAACGCCTCGGTTTTTGACCAAATGGAGATTCGAGAAACTTTTGTCTCGGAATCCGAACAAATATTTGGAACTCGAACTTCCGAGATGAGCCGAGTTGAGCCGAATGGCGTTCATTCGGCCCAGCGCGCCTTGCTCGCGTCATCAGTGTGAGTGCAGAGAGAGAGTCACGCTTTGTGGAGTCACGCTTTCCGATTGGGTTTCATTGCTTCGGTTCTCGAACAATTCGGTTCTCGACCGTCCTCCTGGAACGAATTATGTTCGAGAACCGAGGTATCACTGTAATTCAAAGGTCATAACTACCAGTAGAAAGAGAAAATACAGATTCCACAAAACTTCATTTAATCAACCTCATTTTCCTTGAAAATATTTTTCCTGTTTTGAAATAAAGCCAGTGATTGAAAGACGAATGCTATCCTTACCACATCTCTGTCGATTCGGGCTGCCATCATCTCAGGGGTTTCTTCGTGCCCATGATACTGCCTTAGTTTCTCATCTAGAGAGAGGAGAATTGTAACTCTTTCAACCTGTTGCTTAACTAATATCAATACAGGTAATTAAACACCGGCTAAAAAATTGGCTAGAAAAGAGTCATTTGCAAAAGGGAACACCTCCACTGGATAGAAAATCAAACTTCTGCTGACCCTCTAGGACAGGCATCCTTGCCCACTAACAGAAACACTTGGACAGAGCTGAAGTGCTTGCCTTCGCCTTTGCATTGATTTACCCTGTGGTTTCCCCTTGGGTCTCCCGCTTCCCTTTGTCAGCTGCCTATACAACCAATCCTAACTCAGTACCCTATAATTCCTACCCAAGAAATATAAGCCCACATTTAAGCACCTACTTGGTAAATAGTGGTCAATTAATTCTAATGTGACAAAACTTCTGATTTTTATATATTCCAACACTGAGATTTCAATGAACTTAGTGGTTTCCAATAGTAAAGTGTTTCTTAAAATTCTTGTTGTCGTTAAACTTAAAACCCACGATGTTAGACTCATTAATTTTAAGCCATAAGCTTTGAAAGTATAACTATGTACAGAAAATTTCAATTTAAAGAATAGATGTCTTAAGAGCATTCAAGATGTTAAGTTAGCTCTTTTGGCTAAAGCATGATGTTAATTGTCAGATCATTATCATGAACTCCTTCCTGTTATGAGTAGGTTAAAACTATCACTAAACACAGATATTCGTACAGATATTTCACAGTAAACCAAATAAAAAATATAATGTATGGATAAAATAGGAAAAATGTATCATCACTAATGGAAATACAATTCTTGATATATTATGACTTATGATGTCCGACACAGAGAACTACAAAAAAATATTGAAAATTCTATATTGCTATGTCTCTTTTAGGCTTTTTACTATAAATGGAATACTTGTAAAAGAAAAGAAGAAGAAGAAGAAGAAGACGAGGAAGAAGAAGAGGAGGAGGAGGGGGAGGAAGAAGAAGAAGAAGAGGAGGAAGAAGAGGAGGAGGAAGAAGAAGAAAGAAGAAAAGAAAGAAGTAATTCCTGAGTCTTATGAAACTTAATTAGTGGCTATTAAGTAAATTAAGATAATTAAAATTTATATGTATAAAATCTTGCCAGTTAACTTCTGTTTTACCTGTGGGTAGCTATTATCTTCCTATAGTACATACTGCAGAAAGCAGCAAGTTGAACTTGAAATATAGCTATTTGGAACTCCAGACAGGTGAGGTGAGGTGAGGTGAAGAGGGAGGCTGAGGTAAGAGGGAGATGTGATATTTCTGTGTCTTTCTCAGGGTCTGTGGTATGACTAGCAACCCTATGGCCACTGCCACTCTTCTACGGAGACTACTTTGGCATCAGGGGTCAAAGGGGTTGTTCAGCCTGAGTCAGCCAGAACCTACAGAGAGACCAGAAAGATACTCCTTTTGGGGATCTTTTCGACTAAAAACTGGCCTGCTCCCAAACAGAACCTCATATGATAAGAATTGTGTTCTGCTTAGCCTAGTAGTAAATTATCTTATATAGATGAGGTTGCACAGAGTAATTCAGACAAAATCTAATGAGAGCTCAGGAATCCGTGGGGGATAAATATTCTCTCTGTGGTAAATTAGGGTTTTTTGTTTGTTTTGTTTTAGAGAGAGAGAGAAACATCAACATGAGAGATATACATCAATCAGCTGCTTTCTGGACTCCCTCAATCCACTGAGCCACACCGGCAGGGCTAAATTTTGTTTAACAGATTTTTTTTTTACAAGTTTATTCCTCCACGAAAACAGCAGCAACAACAAAAATACCATAAATACACAAAAAGCAGAAAACACTATAAACTCCTAACTCATTTTTTACACACAACATTTTACAGCCAAAAAGGATTAATAGAAATTTATATAATTCCTAAAAACAGAAAGTTACAGTAAATAAAATAAAAAATATATAAAGTTAAAATAAGTAATAATTCTACTTTATTTTTGAAAAATGGGTGCTTCCAAGATTTCTTTCTTCCATCTATTTGTTAGCTGGGTTTTTGTGTAAACCTCTGAAAATAATTTTAAGGATATGAGAAATCTAAATAACATGAAAAGCATTTCAGAAAAAAAAATCTCAATTTGGTAAAAAAGAGAACCACCACAAATTATGCTTACTGTGCCACCCTAGATACTGGTATACAAAGTATTTGCTTTCAGATTCACAGCAACCCATGAGTTATTATCCCCATTACATTATCCACAGGTGAGGCTGAAGCGCAGGCAGATTCACTGTCCAAGGTCACAAGGGGAGAACCCAGTCTTGCTCCAGAGCCCAGCTTTTGACTTCCCAGACTCAAAGTCCAGTCCAACGTCACTAATTTTGGCAATCGGGTTCTATTGTTCAACTACATGCTAGATATCCTCTATGAAAAGTGCTCCACTGGACAGAGGGTGAGTGAGTTCAGCAGTCTCACTGAGCTGGGTGGCAAGAGAGTGAGACTCGTTCTCATCAAATTCAAATTTGCTGAATCACACTTTATTCACCCTTAAAATGACGAGACTGAACCAAGCATATTTAAAGGCATTTTCCAGACATAAAAATTTCAGATTTGGTAAAACATCCTGACATATAAAAAGTTACACTAAGTTCTGTGCTTATGATTATCTATTTTTACAAAAAGACTGTCAAGTTAAAATGATGGCACAAAGGGCCCATGTGACAGGATTAGCCAGATGTGGGTGCCTTTTACCTCTTTTCCACGGTCCTACCACTGTCCTGACTTACTTTCTGTGTAACCATAACTGATTTGTCCAAAAAAAAAAAAAACAGTGGTAAGACAATAATCATGAAAAAAGTTTAAAGTATAATCTTAACTTAAAAAAAAAACAACCTCATAATCTTGTCTGACTGGTGTGGCTCACCTGTTGAGCATCGACTCCTCGCACCAAGAGGTCATCAGTTCGATTCCTGGTCAGTGCACATGCCCAGGTTGTGGAACCAATCCCCAGTAGGGGGCATGCAGGAGACGGCCAATCGATGTTCTCTCTCATCGATGTTTCTCTCTCTCTCTCCCTCTCATTTCCTCTCTCTCTAAAATCAATAAAGGAAAAAAAAATTTAAAAACCTCATAGTCTCTTGCTTGGTACATATTCTATTACCATCCTTTTACTTGTTAGTGGAGTCAAACTTTCCACCTTTGACTGTAATTAAAAAAAAAAAAAAAAAGACTCTAATCCTAACACTGTATTTATTAATTGACTAGTCTGAACTCTCATATACAATAATCTTAGTGTTCAAGCTTAACATTCCTTTATCTAAAATTTAAAATTGTAAAACTAACCTCAAGCTTCATTTCAGAAATTAGCATCAGAATTTAAAAGTGCCCTGGCCAGTCTGGCTCAATGGTTAGAATTTCAGCCCTCAGACAATTGAATAGTGGGTTCGATTCTGGTCAAGGGCACGGACCTTGGTTGTAGTTCTGCCCCGGCCCCAGTCGGGGTCATGCAGGAGGCAACCAGTCGAAGTGTCTCTCTCATATTGATGTCTCTCTCTCTCTCTCTCTCTCTCTCTCTCTCTCCCTCCCTCCCTCCCTCCCTCCCTCCCTCCTTCCCTCCCACTCTGATTATAAATGGAAAAATATCCTCGGGTGAGAATTAGAAAAAATAAATAAATAAAAAGAATTTAAAAGCAAGAACTCTAAGTAAATCACAACCCTAAGTAAATGTTCATGAAGTGTTCATCAACTCCTGGAAATACTCACAGTCCCCTTGGTCAGCTGCCCACGCAGACCAGGCTGCCACCCGACTTCTGACGTCCACCTGGGTAACAGTCCCCGGGGGTACAGGGGCAGGAGCTCTGGGTGGAGGCGGTATACCAGGGTCTGCTTTGGAAATCATCCTTAAAACAATGAAAACAAATGGAATTTTTACCATCTCTCTTTCTATGACATTAGTTCTCTCAGTTTATGATCTTAGTTCTCCAACCCCAAGAAGAACTATGTCAAGGAGCAGAACAGTATGGATTTCCGAACTTTCCCTTATTACATGTATTCATAAATGTATAAAAAATACAGAAATTTAAATTCAGCTGAAAACTAGGTTCAACTTTTTAAAATTCAGCTGAACACTGGGTTTAACCTTTTTCTGGGGCTCCTGTGATCTGGAAAGGCAGTGGACCAACTACAGTCCTGATATCTGTTTGCATTCCCTCAGGCCACCTTCCCCGGACGCCACTCAGCCTCCGTGACTCTGGGACAGCACGGGTGGCAGAAGCCACACCGGAGAAGGGCCAGGACCATGAAGAGAAACGGTGCTCACAGACACTGACAAACCTGGGAGGGCGAAGGAGCTGAGATTACCGGTTGTAACCTGGACACCAGACCTTCATTGAGAGTAATTTTGTACATCTTTAGAGGAAAAAATGGCTTACAAAGAAATCGATTCTACCCCTTAATTTCTTTTCCAGTTTTTACCTCAAGGCATCAGGCCGCCGCTTCTGTTTGCCTCCTTTGCTGTCACTGATGGCACTTTCAATATCTTCAGTGATCAGGTTGGCCTGCAATGGAAGACAAGCTACTCAGAGGTTATGGATTTTCTTGTCTCGATATGCAGGACAAAACGGACAAAGAGATGATGTTCCCTGTCTGAATCAATGGGTATCTTGATGAAAATAAAAGTGCTTTTGTTTTTAACTGCTTTCAAAGCATGCTCTTCCTTTTTTGATGATGAATTTTATGATTGAAAAACTGAAGGAATTTAAAAATATTGCTTAATCTAGATTCCTTTAGTTTAAAAACAGCTATAAAGGCAAATGGAAAAAGGGTTTGCATATGCTAAAAGTATAATCATATGGTGAAACGTAACTGGGGAACTATCTTCCTGAGAAGAAATAAAGGCACTGGGAGCACGTATGGAGAGTGGAGTTCCTTCCCCTCCTCATCCTCAGGACCCACTGGCACCCATCCACCCGGGACAAATCCCTCTGCCCCAGCAGGCTACCGTCAGTGCAGAACAAAGCCCCTATAATCACCAGGTGACCCCCACACCAGGTGGTACCCTTTTAGATAACCACTTTACTTTGTCATGTCAGGTAAAAAATTAGCATTCTCCAAACAATGAACTTTTCCAGCAAGAACATGTGATTCTGTTTTCTCGGGAATCCATGTGAGATTAGCAGCAAAGAGGTTTATTTTGTCTGATTATGAAGTTTATTTATAGCCAACGATTATTACGGTATATTAGACTCCTGCTGGGATGTATGCATCTCCTATTTTGGCTCCCCATTGTTCCCTGTAATTATGTATGTTTTTCTCAAAGATACATATATATAATATTCTTCTACCATGAGCACAGGTAATCATACACCTTTGGAGTGACAAGGACTGGAAGCCGGTCTAATCTGTCTTGCTCTGTGACGAAGGAAAGGCGGAGTGGCCACGGCCAGGGCTGGGAAAGGGGCGCGTGCCCCAGCCCAGTGCTCTTCCACAGAACGGCTGGTGGCAGGAAGACCCCGCAGGAAGACCCCCGCAGGAAGACCCCCGCAGGAAGACCCCGCAGGAAGACCCCGCAGGAAGACCCCGCAGGAAGGCCCCGCAGGAAGGCCCCGCAGGAAGACGCCGCAGGAAGACCCCGCAGGAAGACCCCGCAGGAAGACCCCGCAGACGTCACGCCAGAGGCTTCTGTTACGTGGAGACTAAAACTGAAGATGCCTGGGAACCCTGAACTTCCCATAGAGAGCGACTTCTAAGAAAAATTTTACTGCAAATGTGGACAGGAACATTGTAAAAAAGTCCCATAATAAATACATTTCAAAACTCAAAAGTGACATCCCAAGGTTATCCATTTGAAAGGAAAGCACATCATATTTCATTGTACTTATATTTTCAATGGTGCTAGAAAAAAAGTGTCTCATACGTGGGACACGGCACGAATGAGTAAATGCACATAGCTACAGAGTGGTTGGTACTAGCTTTTCACTAGGACGAAACAGTGTTCGGTGCATGAGTTTCAAACCCATCAATACCGCCATCCCCTATCAAATAAAGCAAGCCCTTTATTCTCGAAACTGAATCCAGAAACTTCAGTCAGCACAGTATCTCTCAATTTCCAGAGGGGTTTCTGGAACAATGAGGCAAACACCAGATTTAAAGTGTCTTTTAGCTTAGTTTTCTGTTTTAAAAATGTTTTAATTAACTTCCACTAGATTTTCAGAGCAAAATATTTACCTTAATACTTACTGATTTAAACCTAACTTTGCAGAATTCTTAATATACTTCATGACCTAAAAAGACACTATACAAAAATCTGATGGAACATTTCATATATAAATTACAAAATCTTTTCTAGTAATATTTTTAGAAAGTAACCAATGACATAAACTGAAATAAAAATAAATTATAAAATACACTATTTACAGTCAATCTTAATTTATCTGATATTTTCATGTCATAGAAATACAGAAAAGATCAAGTGACACTTTGTGCTAATCTCCCAGCATCTCTTTATAAGATAAAAATTACCTGTGTATTTTATTATATACAGTGGCACATCACTACTTTGGTCAAGTACCAATCAACTCAACCCAAAATGATTTCCCTTTGACAGAAATCAACTGATGAAATAAAGATATTCACTGCTGAATGTAACTTCTGGTGTCCAATAAAGCATCACAAATTATAATTGCTTGAAAATTACAGTACACTCTGAAATATAAATCTTCAGGATATATAGAGTGTTATTACTGGTAACTGTGCTCAACTATTTTCACATTATCACGGGGGGTTACAAACACTGAGCAATTATTCAAGTCACATAATTAAATGGGGAACTTTAAATCAATATCCTGGAAAATGTCTTGTAATATGCTTTGTGACTGGGGTAGAATAAAATAATATTGCGTGATTCTTTATTGCCCATCAAGTACGATTTCTGTAGAATCAATTTTAATTATAAGTCCAAGTCATTCCATAGAGAATTTAATACATTATCTACACTTTTTTAATAAACAGAATACATCTGATTTTTAAAATACCATTGTATGTCCTCTTTCTTTATTTGGCCTGAGAACCCTAAGGAAAACACTAAGGGATTTATTTTCCTTAAAAAATTTAGAACTAAAAATTGAGTGCCTACCAGCCATATGATCCAAGTAAATAATTCAAAAGCTACCAGGACATCTGCTTAAAGGAAAAGAAAGTTCACTGTTCTCTTACCTTAATCTCATCGCACTGGAAAAGATGAAGGTCGGGTTTGTTCTGAGTTGGCTCTTTGCACACCAGGGCAAGAATAGAGTCATAGTTACAGGAGTGCATCACAGCTTGGCAGTGCTGGATTGTGTTTAAAGGAAAATTCTCCAGTTCATTCTGCAAAGTAAAAATAGAATTTGCCTGATTTCTTATTGCATATGTATAATCTATTCCACAGAGAGCTTGAGGCATGTACATGTAATTTTTGAAGCACACCAATCATACCGACAATGACTATTAGTAGATTCTTGTAGAGGTGGAGATGATGGTTGGGAGAAGGACCAAAAACATGGAGATCTTCCCCAGAGAAATGTAGTTATGTTCTTAATAAACAGAGTATTGAATTTAGCATTTCGGATTTCCTCAGATTATGAGGTAGAGATGATGCCTTAAATAGCAAAAGAAGTAAACTAAGGCCTCTTTCCAAAATGATTCACCATCTCACATTCTTTTCCCTCCGGCTATGTAATGTCAGAATTTTTTTTTTAACTTGAACACTGTAGAGTCATACATACAAACATGAATACACACATATACATACATACACATACGTACAAATGTTAGGCTAAGAATAATTTATCATTTCTAAATTGTCTATTTCAGTGAATCTTTCAAATGCAAAAATTCACTATATAGCCAGAATCCAGCCAAAAATATAAGACAGGGTCAGATGGGTCTCTGTATGAAATACACTCTTCAAAATGATTAAGGTATTTGGTGGTATAAAAGTGAATACTCTGTAACCTATAAAGAATCATGCAATAAAATACCAACAGATTAAATAATTACAGTACTTCTTAAAACAAATGAACTTTCTGCTCACTATTAGAATTCTGTACTTAATGAAATATGTAAGGTGCTCATCCTTACACTAATGGCTTTTCACAAATTGTGAGTGGTGTCATGATGTACATAAAATACAATACCCCTGATAACTGTAATAGAAAACGCAACTTTCATTATGGACACCCATAGTTATACATCACACCGTACGTTTACGTTAAACCCTAATCCCTGAGATCCAGCAAAGGTGAAATAAAAAATGCAGTTTCCATTAAAATAGAATGTAATTTCTCAGACACACCAGAGAGATGATAAATTTTCTTTCTTTCCTAAAGTAAATTAAACACTGTCCTTTCTCTATAATTACTCGAACCACGAGGATCAGAGAAGCACTCGGTTGCTCTCCTACAGGACACAGTGGACGAGAGGCAAGGGGAGGCGAGGGTAAATTCCGCCCGACTCCTACCAGGACACTCTGATGTGATTAACACAGTCATTTTCCTTATCTTAGGAGCTCGGCTGTTACTAGATGACAGGGCTCAGAAAAGTTCTTTTGAGAGCTCCAGCATCTTCGCTGCCAGTGCGTGTGTGGAGAAAGGTGTCCCCTGTGGAGATGATGAGAAGTTCATGCACACACCACCCTTCCATCCCAGTCCACTTATTTACTGACACGCGGTTCAGCCGAGCACGTAATTAATCTGCTTCATAAACGATTATGTCCCACTGGGGCCTTATTGTAGCACTGTGTATTTTCCCCTCATTTCTTTCATCTTACCATGGGTGGTTTTAAAGGGATGTATGCCTCCATCTCTAGTTTAAAAAACTTATTTTGCATATATAATGCATATACAGTATTTTTTTAAAAATCACTGACAAAAATATTTTATTTGGTCAAGCCTTCACCCAAATTTGCAACAATCTGACTTAATTGTAAACATAAATATCTGTAGAACTTTCTTACAAATAAAACTATAAATTTTAGAAACTTGCCTTTGATTCTAAATCGATCAGGCTCACGGCTCTGTCATCCACTTGAAGAATCATATCCTGAGTCCACACTTTGCCCTTGGCATCAAGCAATTTCAGCTTCCTTATCCCATCATCAATAGTTATCATAGCATCTTTCCGATCCAGAACGAAGGTAGTCAAGTGCTTGTGATTGGCAAAAAGAAAAAATATTTGTAACATGCACACAGTCTCTTAGTACACATTTTCCAAAAGAGAGCAAAGCGAACCTAACTGAAGTCAACTAGCAAAGAGGTGAGGGACAAACAGATTACTCTAGAACTTCATGGTTATTTTACTGAGATAATAAAGTCAAGCAGGTTAAGTTGCATAGATGATGCCTTGACTCATAAAATAGCTAAATCTGTTTTGATATTGAGACATATTAAATGACATATACATGTCATAAAAACAAATTCTAAACAGCTTAAATAACATTCTCTTAATGCCCCCCGCCCCCATTTTATTGCACTTTTGTCATGTGAATGCTGAACGGCGGGTAATCTACATGGCAGCTGGAAAAACTATACATGAGTAACTGGGAGCAGCAACGGCAATTCTGGTCTGTGACAACTGTCAAACTTTCACTCTACTAAAACCACGTACTTCATTAACCAAGGTTGAGATAGGTAAAAAACCGAAAATAATAGCAATTTAAAAATCACTCCCCGAGCATAATTGCCAAAGATACATCAGATAAGGGGTTAATTTCCAATATATATAGAGTGCTCATACAACTCAACAAAAGGAAGACAAAGAACACAATTAAAAAAATGGGCAGAGGAGCTGAATAGACACCTCTCCAAACAGGACATACAAATGGCTAAGAGACATATGAAGAAATGCTCAACATCACTAATCATCAGAGAGATGCAAATTAAAATGACTATGAGGTATCACCTCGCACCAGCCAGAATGATCGCCATCAACAAATCATCAAACAACAAGTGTTGGCGAGGGTGTGGAGAAAAGGGGACTCTAGTACACTGCTGGTGGGAATGCAGACTGGTGCAGCCACTATGGAAAACACTATGGTGTTATCTCAAAAAATTAAAAATTGAGCTTCCATTTGACCCAGTGATCCCACTTCTAGGAATATACCCTAAGAAGCCTGAAACACCAATCAGAAAGAATATATGTACCCCAATGTTTGTAGCAGCACTATTTACAATAGCTAAGATCTGGAAACAGCCCAAGTGTCCATAAGTAGACGAATGGATAAAAATGCTGTGGTACATATACACAATGGAGTACTTTGTAGCCATAAGAAAGAAAGATCTCTTATCCTTTGAGACAACATAGAGGGACCTGGAAAGTATTATCCTAAGCAAAACAAGCCAATCAGAGGAAGACAAATATCACATGATCTCACTTATTTGTGGAATATAATGAACATAACAGTCTGAGATACAGGGTAGACCCAGAGACGTGGAAGCAGGGTACAGACTGACAACCCTCAGAAGAAGGGGGAGGGGGGGAGGGAAGAGATAAACCACAGAACTTATATGCATGTACGCATAACCGATGGGCACGGACAACAAAGCCAGGGATGGGGTGGGGGGGATGGGGAGGAAGGTGTCAATGGGGAAAAAAGGAGAAACATTTGTAACAAAAATAAATTAATAAATTCCAAAAAAATAAAAAATAAATAAATAAAAATCACTCTCCCCTCATACACTGTCGGTGAGATTATAAAGTGGTGCAGCCACTATGTAAAACAGTATGGACGTTCCTCAAAAAATTAAGAAAGAATTAACATATGATTCAGCTTTTCTACTTCTGAATGTTTATCTGAAGATATGAAAACACTAATTCAAAATGATATATGTGCCCCTAGGTTTACTGCGGTTAAAATTTACAATAGCCAAAATATGGAAACAAGCTGTGACCACACAGATGAATGGATAAAGAAGCAAAGAAGATGTGTGAGCATATATCTTAAAAGATAACAACAGAGAAAAAGTTTTTAAAAACACTTTAAATAGATCTAGGAATGACTTGAGATAAAACTACACAACTCACTGAAACTATCAAAGGCTTAATTCCAACAAAATTCTCCAATATAAAATAGAAGCCTTCATCCTGTCTTTAATAGAAATAGGCTGACAGTCATAAATAAGTACTTGTTTTAATTTATTCTATATGAAAATAGACCCCTAACAAAATACTTTTATACTTAACATCTGTTTTCCAAAAATCTAAAAGAAAGAGGTCAACACAATATCAAATACATCAGAGGAATGAAGTAAAACACAATTTTTATTGGCAGTGAAATGAACCCCTCAAGGTTCATTCTGAATTTTAGCAAACATCAAAGCATCTTACTTCAACACGGTATTGGGATATATCTGATACACTGCTGATACTGTCACGTGCGTAGTTCTTCCTTTGTTCTGAAAGAGAAGTTTAAAGAGATATTATTTACCCGCTAACAGGCTGAAGTTCATAGGTCAGTGTCTTGTGGCCTTCTCAAACTAGTCTATGTCACATATAAATACAGTAGTGGACAAGTCACCATTGTGCCGTATCTCTGAAAACAGTCATTCTTCACAATAATTGAAAAAGCTACCAGGAAGCTTAAATGAAATGCACGAACAATTTGACCTTCATATAAATTTTCACAATCCCAAAGGTTAACACGATTATTAACATTGTAAGAAAGAAAAAGGTATTCGGTCTTAAGGTTTTGTTAACCAGGGACCCACTATTTGGGAAAAGGATAAAAACTGGTTTGTCAATTTCGTCTTTTAGGACACTGAGAACAAGACAGACTTATAAATATTGTCACAGATACTGTATTATATGAGTCAGACTATTAAAATAATAGGCACTGCAAGACACATCTCCTTTCACAATATCCAAACTATGAAGAATGTTAGAGGAGATTCAAAACATGATCCAGTCATGCTGATTCCACTGAAGTGTAACAGTCTTCACACAGCTACAGAACACAAGTGATACTCAGATGTGCAGATATCAGCTATTAGAACAAATAAAAAAGTTAGGTAGAAAGTTACTGCACCAAATGATCTTAAAAGCAAAAATAAACCTTTAATTTTCTTTTGTACAATGCTGCAAAGCCAAAATAAAATATAAAGTATGTGGAGGCAATATTGTGCACGTTACTTGCCAACCAAGCAAGCTGCTTATTTGTAAATTCAGAGCTGTGTATTTCTTTTAAAGCAGAATGCTATGATTAAAAACAACAACTCCACGCGGGAACCAAATTTGTGATTCTAGCCTTGGCTCTGTCACTAAGTAGGAGACTAAATTTGGGCAAGACATTTAACTCTGGGCCTCAGCACTCTTATTGCAAAAGAAAACGGTTTAACAAGGTCAAATCACAGGACACGTCCAGTACTAAAATTTATCCCTCCATGCCCACATACACACATGAACAGAAACACACCGACACACACACTCCTTAGCTTTCCTAATAACCAATTTTTGGAAATATATACATGTTTCAGTTAATATAGAAACCTTTAGCTCTTCCTACAACAGAAGTCAAAACTTCTGCTGAACATAAAAGCAAATCAAGTACAAAAATTTAAAGCACGTACAAAGACTTAGAATGGTAACTCATAGAATTATTTAAGGATTTCAATAAATTCTTTTTTTTTATAATGCATATAATAGAAATTATCTTTTCATTTATATTTACCTTAAAACTGAGATGAAAACATTCATACACCTTATATATTATGTCACTCTGATATTATTCTAATATATTCTATTTTTGCTTTTGCAGCATTAAAGTTACTTAATAAAAACACACACACTATAAAACTCAGTATCTGCTACCTTTCTTTTTTTGTTTGGATGATGATCTGAAGAAGTATGATCCATCTGGTCCTACCAAAATAATGTCATCAAAAAGAAAGATCTGTTTTCACCTTAAATTTTCTGTTCTGATATGACAAAACATAAACCTTCACTTACATGACTGTATTCTACATATTTTAAAAAGTGGACACGAGTATGATTTTTTCTGTTTATTAGTTAAGCATTAATCTATGTGAGCTTTAACAAATGGGTAACTGTTGTGGGAGAAACCATTATAATTGAAATACAGTATGTAACTCAAGGATATATCTAACAACAGTCTTTTAGAAATAATCACTATTTCCGAATCACTGGCTCAACATCTTCTAAGACAATTCTCTGTGGCAGACTCAGAACATGAAGGTGGTTCTATCTCCTTTGGTGTAACCAGGGGACAGCAAAAGAAATGGCAGTAGCTGCCATGGTACCCCGTTATGATACTGCAGCCCTAGGATGTTCAATAAGTAATAGGCAAACAGTTTAAGGTCAAAAATACTGTATTGTTTGTAATTAAGTATTCTCATTATGAAGTAGTAAAATTCATTTCCCCAAATTTCCTAACACATCGTTTCTCAACGCCACAGAAACATACTTTACAGAAATAGAAAAATACTGACCATCTGACAGTATTTGTAAATAGTACCATGTTCGCTGAACACTCTCATTGCCCAGAAGATACAGTACCATTTCCAATATTACAAATTAAGAACCTACTTAGGAATTCAGAAGCTGCTTTCTCTTTGATGTTATACAATAAAGATGTATGTGTTATGGGGAAAATGTAGAAATGCCATAAAATGGATTTATAAATAAACAAGTAGTTTCAGTGATTTAAGTCAATGAATAAATGAAGGTAAAAGTTAACATTTTAATAGGAAAGTTTGAAAAAGGGCTTTCAAAAGCCAATTACAGTACCTTTATTTTTTATGATGATCTTATGTGCTCTGAAGTACAATTGTAAATAGTAATTATGCTCCTAAGCTGAATATCTCACCAAAAGCCTTAAAACAGTGTGAAAATCCTAAATAAAGTCTCAATGATACTCAAGATAAAGCCTCCAATGACGTTCACCACTTTCTCTAGCAAATTCTCAACTCTGGCTTTACATTAGAATAATCTTTAAAAACACTGCCGAGGTCCCGCTGTCTGGTGTTTCCCATGTGACTGGTCTGGGTGCAGTCTGGGCCGGGATTTATCAAAGCCCCCAGGCAAATTTCACGTGCAGCCAAGGTTGGAAACCACTGCTTCAGAATCTGTGCAAATGCCAATCACCTACTATATCTTATCTCTTTACATTCAAAAGCTGTCTTTCCAAATTAATAGTGTAAATCACAGTCAAGTAGTGTATTAAATGATAATGAATCTGGCAGTTGAGTTTGGGTTTCTAGTGTTATAAGCTGCTTGACTCCCAATATAAGAGCAAGTCTCAGTCTCTGTGTCTCTGTCTCTCTCTCTGAATCAATTAGAACCAGGAATGAACTTTACTCAATTGTAGTACCACTGGTTGTATCACTACTTTTCCTAATAGCTTTTATCCAATGGACCAGAATATACAAACCCCAAGACATGAAACTAGGTGAATTCGGTAACCAAGGATGAAAATTTTTTACATACCATTTTAACATTACTGAGTTGATATGCTGCAACAAAAGTTGATATTCAACTTCCAGATCAGGAACGTTAATTTAGTTTTCAATGGACTTCGGGTGATAATGATATATGTTAATGTAGACTCATTAGTTGCAACAAATGTACCACTCTGGTGGGGGATGTTGAAAGTTGAAGAGGTTTTTTATATGCAAGGGGGTATGTGGGAAATCTCTGTAACTTCCCCTCAATTTTTCTGTGAACCTAAAACTGCTCTAAAAAATAAAGTCATAATAAAATATTAGGTTTCATTTAATTTTTCAATTAGTACAATAACAATATGCATGTCTCAGTATTTCAACTTAATTCCCCTTTGCCTGTATTGCTATAGCAAGATTTGAAACAGCTAATATTCAAACAATTTTTGTTTTCCAGGGTGGGGCAAAAGTAAGTTTACAGTTGTATGTGAAACACAGAGTTTATTCTTGTGTTATTATTTATTAATTATTGTATTATTTTCCATATGAACAACTATAAAACTACTTTTGCTCTACCCTGTATTTTTCTTGGGGGGAGGGACACAAAGAATTCCTTAGAAAGTAAAGATTTGGAAATTAAAAAGGGAAAAAACATAAAAGCAGCTTCTGAGTATTTCTCTCTTCAAATAGATCATATTACATTACAGTAAGAAACTTTCTACCACCAGTGAAGACCCCTTTCTCACTATCTTAGTGTATCATTTCCCCGAAGGAGAGGTGCTCCCTGGGAATCGGTAAGGAGTCCCGAGTAGCAATGACAAGCTCTCAGGATCTAGGCAATGATATTCACCGATGGACAAATCAGCATCTGAACTAAGATACTGCTGTTAAATACAAATAAGGTCAATTTTACAAAATTACGTTACTCAAGAATTGTACTTGCCTGTTCAGCAAATGGTTAAAAGAGCCTATCCCATGAGGAGAAGAGCACCTTCAACATTTTCAGGTAAGTGGGGAAAACTGCCCACTGTCCTGAGCCCCACGCTCGGGCACACTCTGTGAGGCTGAAGTCTGACCCTACCACCGCCCAACGTCCTAGTGATAAATAATCCTGGGCCACGCACTTCTTAAGAATTTCAAAAATTTTCTGTTTCAAAAATATATTTAAATGTTTTCTCCATGTAAAATAAATCAAATGCATATTGGAAATAATGAGGAAAGGGAGCAGAGAAATGGGTTGTAACACTCCAGGGCCTCCTAAATGTGTGAGAGACATCGCTTGGGCTTCAATTACGACAATTAAACAGACTGTCCTCAACTAGACCAGGAGAATGAGAGACGAAGAGAGAGAGATAGGTACAAAAAGGAAAACACTCAGGGTAGAGATCTGTTAGTAGAAGTGGTATGTTCAGAAATTCTACTCTGACAAAGGTGAGGCAAACACCGTGTAAAAATACAGTGAAGTTTATAGTCAAGTCAAATATACAGAAATTGTGCAGTTCAAGGGTTATTTATATTCAATTCTTACTGCTAGCTCCCTGAAAGAAAAAAGAAAAGCAGAAAAAAATGCAAATATATTTTCTTTCTTGCAAATATCACAAAAAAGTTCAAACTTAAGGCTGAGACTTAATAATAAGCTGATGAACAAAATAGACTCAGAGGCATAGAAGTAGGGTTCAGATTGACAAACCTCGGAGGAAGGAGTGGGGGTGGGGGCAGGAGCGGGCAGAAAGAGATAAACCAAAGAACTTATATCCATATAAGCATAATCAATGCTGTGGGTGGGGGTGGGGGAGTGGGAGGAGGGTGTCAATGGGGGGAAAAAAGAAACATCTGTAACAAAAATAAATTAAAGATAATATATACATTAATATATATTATATACCATGAAGATTACCTATTGATCCTATCAAAGTATTGTGATTAGACAGATATATAGCATCATTTGGATGTATTAAAATATTAAATGTTAGGGCCTTGATTGGTCTGAGGACCCAAGACTAAAAGTGACTCTCCTGTACCTGTCCCCACTGCCATGATAGGCTCATTACTTCTATTTTCTCATATAAACTTATCACAATATTATTACCATGTTCTATTTTATAGATGAGAAAACTGGGCCCATAGGTTAAATCATTTGCTCAGAATGGTAGCCCTTTGGTAGCGTGTCATGATTCAGCCGCAGATCACTTGGACACCAAAACCCACACTTTTTCTGTGATCATGTCACTGACATTAGGGTGTCAGCTTTCAAAAGTGTTCTCATAAAAAAAGCAAGCTACCCAAAACTCTTGATACAGCATCGAGCCTGTGGTCAGTGGGAAAAACAGCGGCCATTACTGTGAAACCCATTTTCCAGTACACTAAATAGGATCCTCACACCTCAAAGAAGTTAATATACCACCCACGAAGGCAATTAATTCTTGAAAGATTATTCAACTACTTTAATAATTGTGAAAGGAGAAAATTTTAAAGAAAATGTATATGTTGTGACAAAATAAACTACGTTACAAATCTCTCCACAAATTTTCTAATTACAAAGAGAAAGTTAAAACTATGCAGACTTGGAGGCTAAACACTCCCAATGTTAACTTAATGTAGTTAAAAATTTCAACTGGAATTTGTTTATTGCAAAGGTTTGTTCAAAACATGCATACATTTCACTACCGTCATCATCTATCTACCCATTCATTCTAGGCCTTTACTGAGAATCTGTTAGAGAGAAGGCATGTGTGTGTGTGCGTTTGTGTAGTGTGTTGGGAAGGAGTAGCAGGTATTAGAAACAAAGAGAAGGAAACATTATCTGCAACTTCCGGGAACTTAAAACCCTCTTACTTGTAAGCCCAATACATTGCGAAGTCATCTTTCTTCCTTATAAATACTTCTTGATTTTGACTCTTTCTATCTCCTCTTTATACATTCTGTTTTATCTATAAACTGTTCATTTACATCACATGACATAAAAATTGTCATTTCTTACAATCAAGACTTATGTGACTTTGAGAAATCACCTCACCTTAACAAGGTAACTTAGTTTGCTTTGTAAGTAAAAAAGGGGAAATAATTTACTGCTTACGAGCTAAAAATTTTCAGTCCTTGAATCTATGGTTTTATAAAGTTGTGCCAATACATTGTAAACATTAAAATTTGCAGATGAATCCTACTTTTTTTTTATCCCTTATTCCTTTCTTAGCTCTTTGAAAATAGACTTTTAGGCCTATGTTATTTATGAGAACATTAATACTCTTTCTGTTTAACAAAAGTCATAGGGGTATCATATAAGATATCTGATTCCCCTGTTTCTATCCATACACACTCAATCTACCCTCAGTATTGTTACTAAAGGGACCCAAGACAAATGTGACCTATTACCTCCCTGATTAAAACACTTCAATGGCTGGACATTCCCTCTAATCAATGTCCAATTCATTAGTATGATTCCTCCTAATATGGACCATGTGTATTTTTTCAATCTTATTTCCCAATACACTCCCTCATACCCTCGCTAACATCGAACTATTTGCAGTTCACTAATTCATTATATTCATTCTACAGGTATTTGCTGAACATCAATTATACATTAGCCACTGTGCTAAGCTTGGGGAATCCTGAAGTAATCATGGCAAATATGGTCCACCTTCACAGAAACTAGGTCAAGTTCTAAACAGAGTTTATACTGATGTTTACAGCCCCCACCCCTGCTACCCCAAATGCCTGGAAAATACTCCTTAACTTTCAGAGTTTACTTTAAGGCTCAACTCTTCTACAAAATTCCACCTGACTACCTCCTCCCTGACCCACGTGGAAGAATTTGACCACCCCCAGTGCACCTTATACACACTACCATCCAAGCTCATTTAGCTCTTTATTAGGACATTATGTTTACTAGTCTCCCTCCTCATCAAAATGGTGTAAAAGCATGCCCATCTGTTATTTCTCTTTGAAATGAATGAAAGAACATGGAAAGAGACTATGATGATCAAGGCCTAGCACATAGAAGCACTTAAAATAAATATTTGTCTAGAAATGAGAGACCAAAGAAATTACTTTATGAAAAAAAATAAACAAAAACTTATTTTCCAGTTTCTTTAAGTCATTGACTAGAAGTGCCTTAAAGTCAGAAACCATATATCACTAAATAAGTATTTGTTGTATATGTTCTCTAGATCTACCATTCACAACTACTAGACTATAGTAAGAATGTCACAATACAGTACTCAGGAAACTTGAAACCAACACAAATCAAATTGACAAGGTCAGAAGAAAATGTATCCATCCATGTATGACATAAAATCCATTTTCTCAATGTATAATTTGAGTCCTAAAGTGTAGTCAGTGATTATACAGGCAGGAAAAAAAATCATAAGACAGAATTGTTCATTTAACTATAGCCAAGACATTGTAGATCTAGATAATGTCAAAAAAAAAGTCCAAATCTAGAAAATGATGTTAATTCCCAGATAACAATAATAATAATGTCAATAATAATAATAATAGCAAATGTATAATGCTTTCTACTACCCAGGCACTGTTCTAAGCATTTTACAGGTAGCAATTCACTTAATTCTCGTATTAATCCTATGAGATAGCCCCATTATACAGATAAGCAGAAATGAGGTGAATACAGGCAAACTAATTGGTCAAGATCACTCAACTAATAAATGGTGAAATTGAATTTGAACCCAAGAAGTCTGGTTCCAGAGTCTTTGCTCTTAACCACAATCATATTCTGATTCTCTATTTTTACACAATATCAAAAGGCCATAAAAATCCTGTAAAAACAAATGCCTTCCTAAACATATGTGGTCCTCAACTTGTTTTGTAGTAATGACATTATTTATAACCTGAGCCTGCCTGAAAAGAACACTGGGAGTTGCTGAAGGGTCGGGGAGAAAGCCTGCTTGTTTGGCATGTGGAATCCACCTACAGCACTGGTGCCGTGCAAGACTCCCTGGAAAGCACCGAAACGCATTTCATCCGTAGTTCCACATGGTATGCCAGCCAGCAGAGGTCAAAACACTGGTAGTATTTGTGAACACTCTTTTTTAAACAATTCTTACCTATCACTACTTCATTCCAAAGAATACAAAACAAAGCAAGGGTTCAAACCATGACTCTGAACATTTGATTAGTAAAAAAATAAGTGGTTAAAAATAGAATTATACTCATATTGAATAAATAACATACCATAAAGAGCCTTTGCACTTGTTTTTGAACTCTGTTCTCTGTCCATCTGGGAAAAGGTGGGTGATGATCCGTAGCCACTGTAATAAAAAATGGTCATCGTGCTGAGTTAAAGTCCAAAGTAAGTAATAAAAATTCAAGATTGTAAATAAAAATTCCAACGTACCACGATCACCGTGTGCTTTAAACAAACATACTGAACTTATGCTGACTAGATTTGCCAAAATAAGACAGGGCCTGTTCTGGTGAGTGGTCAGGAACAAGAATACAAACCCTGCCACCCAAACGAGGGCTCAGGCTGGCACATCGCAGCCTCCTCGCAAATGCCAAGTTAGAACCAAAGCCAAGGAGATTGACCAAGGTTGAAAATGTCTTAGAAGAGTTTAAGTTTGCCATACTAAATAATAGAGTTCAGAGCAGCAATCCGGTTATATAAAGCTCTGTGATTACAGCTATAAGAGAATATTCACTGTTTTCACAAATACTGAAATGAAGTTAACAAAAATAATACTTATTCATTAAATTTGATCAGCTTTACCTTATATCTAGCCTCCTGTTCCTAACACATTATATTAAATAAACATATCATTTAAATTTTTTATTTTTTCCTTTTATTCAGTAAACATTTATTTAGCCCGAAACTAGAAGAATACGTGGTATGGGGGCTAGGGGAACAGGGTATTGCTAATGAAACAAGTAAAATGGTTCCAATAGAATGTAATACCCAGGTCACACTAACAGCTGTAACACGCGGGATACGACAAAAGAGCTGACTTTTCATCAGGAGGCCCAAGAATGTCCATTAAAGCAGAGTCTAAAAGAATGGAAAGAAGCTCCTCAGACAAGAGGAGACTCCGAGAAGAAAAGGCCCCTGGACCCGGCTCCAGAACAAGCCTGGTGTGTGAGGGGAGGCGCATCTATGGTGACAGGCCTCGTCGGCAACTGGCTGGAGAAGTGGAGAAGGCAAACAGAGGGCTTCATAATTAAATTTTATTCTTTAGGTACAGTAAATGTGTTTATACAAAGAAGTGACATGATCTTTTTTTTTTTTTTTAAATAAGACAATCCAGAAACTAATGGCAAGGTAACCAGATAGAAAGATGCTGTAAAAATTCACATAGGAGATAATGACCATAAATAGAAGGAATGGAAGAAACAGAAACAAGTGTTCTTTAATAGAAAAAAAAAATTTATAAATTCATGATTAAATGGACATTTGTTGTAAGAAAAGGGCGGGGGGGATCAAGGGTGTGGCCAAACTTCCTCGAATAACTGACGGACAAGAAAATGTGGCACCTGACACAGTCCTCCCTGCCCCGGCCCACCCTGGCCCGCCCTGGCCCGTCCCTCACTGGGTGTTTCTTACTGACTAACACTAAAGAGATTTGTAATAATCTTTGTAAAAAGAAAAGGGGAAGCATAACTCTTTACGATGTGAATAACCTAGTTTTGAAAAATGATGAGCAAACTATATACCACAATGGCCGACATAAAATAACATCAATATTAACCACAAATGTAAGGCAATGGCCACTTAAGTCAGGCTGGTGACTGCAAGTTGTACCCGAAGCCATAGGGATTGTTTGGTTTGTGTGTCTGATCTTCTTTTGGATACTACCAATGGTTAATATTTCTATGGACTGGACTAGATGGTATTTAAATATCCTCAAATGCCAATAATTTATGAAGAAAATTAATAGAATGCTCCAGAGAAACTGAAAGCTGTGAAATAGAGTATATACTCAACTACAGAAAACAATAAAACTTAAAATATCAGAACAAAATATCTTGTATTAAATTAAATCACTAGCCCTGGCCAGTTTGGCTCAGCAGTTAGAGCGTTGGCCTGCGGTCTGGAGAGACCCTGGTTCGGTTCCCGCTAAGGGCATGTACCTCGGTTGCAGTTTGTCCCCGACCCTGGTTGGTCGTGCGGGTGGCAGCCACTCGATGTGTCCCTTTCACGTTGATGTCTCTCTCTCTCTCTCTCTTCCTCTCTCTCCCTCCCACTCTATCTGTACAAAAAATAGAAAAATGTCCTCGGGTGAGGATAAAAAAAAAAAAAATTAAATCACTACCACTGGAGTTGATGTTACTTAGCCATCTCGTTCTTACCAGAAACAGCAAACTTATCATGATAACACACGTTAGAGTTACAAAGACACAATATGTTAATGAGAAATGAACTACATAAAAAAATAAAGGTAATATTTTCATTAAAAAGATAAAACAAAACAACCAAATCAAATTTTAAAAACCCAACAAATATAAACCTTCCAACTTACTTCATTTGAGATGCATACATTCCAAAACCACTGGGATGATTAGAAATATGACCATTCATCGCAGCTTTCAATCATATGTTCTTAAAAAAAAGAAAGGTACAAAGATTGAAGGCAATAAAAGAGTCAAGACACCTCCGTTTCGGTTCTTCATTCAACAAATACCTGTCACTGCCAGGAACATGCTAGAAATACAAAACAAATATCTCCACCCTTAAGAGCCCAGGCACAAGAAGTACAAATGGTCATATAAACAAAGACCCAATTGACATTTAACATTAATATACTAAATTTGTTAGCAAATTTAGATAAGTAAAAAAAAGATCAAACTCATAATCAATGGTCAGTTTCATAAAGCTGTACTTTGTTTATTGTTTTATTATAAACTAATATGGATTAATTCAATTTAAAGAGTTGAGAAATATAGAAAAGTATAAAAATACATAAAAGTGCAAAGGGGGAAAATATCACTGAGTCCTGTCATTTAAGGATAATCATTTAACAGTCCCATCAATTTCCTTGTCTTTTCCCCGCACCTAATTTTCTTTCCTTCCTCCCTCCCTTCTTTCTTCCTTCCTCCATAGCACATTGGACAGTATGTTTATATGTCTTATATACATACATACACATGGACACATCTTTTTTTTGTGTTCATTTAAACATTCCCTTTACTTTCCACAGGAAAACAATTTTAAAAATCAATACCAGACATTTAACTTCAGAAATAAACTTTGCTATTCACAAATTAAACAAATTTCCTTCAAACAAGATGAATAAGAATAAGTAAAACTTTCTAATTGCCAAATCCAGTGGCCTTTTCTTTTTTCTCCTAAACAATACTGCTACACCCGATCTATTTCACTTCACACTGGATACTTGGTATTCCCTGGGTTCTGTAGCACTACACTATTTTGGATACTGTCTTATTTTTCTGACTTTCATACATAGGATGGGGCAAAAGTAGGTCTGCAGTGTGAGTACGCAAAACACAGAGTTTATTCTTGTATTATTATTTATTAATTATTGTATCATTTTCCACATGAACAACTATAAACCTACTTTTGACCCGCCCAGGGTATTATATTCAACGTCTTCTTGATAAATGAGAGGTAGATAGGACATATCCCAACTTTCTTATAAGACACTGGCAAAGGGAGTAGGAACATTAACAACTACCAAATGACTATGTATCAGTTACTTGCAAGGTAAACAAAACAGACATAGTCCCAGCTTTAGGCCAAGAGTCTAGAGGGAAAAACAGACACTTAGCAAATAACTACGAAATTAAAAAATCGTTACCTTTAAAAGGGAAAATTCAGAAATATAGAGGCCATGTAACCAGGGAACTTAATTCAGATTGGGAAGGCATAAAAAGTCTATATTAAGAAATGATATTCAAAACCTTGTAACTTCTAATTAATTCTTTCTCACTCTTCAGATATGAGTTTAATCACAGTGTCCTCAGGGAAGCTTTAACTGACCTCCGTGAATAGATAAAAAACCCACTGTCAGACACTCTCCACACTACAAACAAATTTTCGAAGTACTTACATTTATATTTTTCATTTGTTCAAATTCATTCCTGACTCTTTACTAGACTATAAGCTCCATAAGGGCATGGCTTTTGTTTGATAGCTGGTGGTTCTCAAGCAGTAAGGATAGTAGTAGGCATAAAATAGGTGTTCACTAAATATTTATTCAAAGCAAGAAAGAAGGAAAAAAAGTCCATGTCTCGCTCATGAGAGTTTACTATATTTTTAGGGAGACGAATCAATGCATATGAAACACACAGTAAATATCAATAAGCCTCAATGTACATGGCTCTATTTGAAGCCCACTACAGGTTCAGAAAAGGGAAAAGCCGTGCCAGCTGCCATAATTTTCACGAAGGCTAGAATGTGACCTAGATCTTAAAAAGTGGTTAGGACTTATAAACACTCAAATTTAATCCAAGCGTTTTTGAGTCTTGCCCATGTCTACTTGCAGCTCAGAAGCAAATTTCTAAATTAAGGAACATATAAATATTGACCTCTACCCTAGATAAGTACTATATTTATAAAATTATATTTATATTAAATTGGCTTACTATGTTTTTTATTGTTGTTTGTTTTCCTTCTTCAATGTATACTTTGCTACAGTGGTATACAGGTAAACCATTTCTCAGGGGGAAAATAAAACGCTGGTTTGTAGTGCCTGCTAATTTCCATGGTATTAATAGTCCTACCATGGCCCATTTCAAGCTATTAATGGTTTAAGAGCAGCTTATAAAACTCCTATGTGTTTTACAGTAGGATCTCATAAGCCTACAGAATATGACAGAGCACATCACTATTACAATCTAGATGTCTGTCCAGGACAAAGGACCGGAGAAACATTATGAATCTAGAGCTAATGGTTAAGACACAGGTGTTCACAGGTGAAAGGCTGGACCTCACACTATCTCTGGCACAGACTCGCCTAGGCAAGCCAGTTAAATTTCTGTCTCATTTTTTCATCAGTGAAATAGAGATCACGCCTGGCCTTCCTAGCTCACATGGCTAGTGAAAGACCAAATGAGATAGATGTATGTGCAAGTTTCCTCCAAAATTAAAAAAAAAAGAAAGAAAGAAATACTCTTTCAAAACAAGCTGGTTCATTCAGAATTAAACCCCCAGGGTTTGTGCTGATTCTGATCTGGTTAGCATTTTAAAACCACAGCGGCTGGTTTTAATGAAAAGTGATAGCCACAATATCTCATATTTTTTCATGTTTAATTCTTCATGACAGTCAAATAAATGCATGGTTTGTGGTTTTTGTTTTTTCTAAATAGTGATCTGCCAGAATAAGAGAGCATTTGAAAAGGGAAGAGAAAATGTTGATTTGCTAAATTGAATTTTAAATATAGAAACTTTTGTCATTTGGCAATCATAGTTTCACTTGTCACAATGTTTATGTAGCAATACAGAGGTTTTCAAATATTTAAATATAGCAATTACAATGTACACCTTGCAAAGGAAACAATTACAAATGTTTGTTTTCCTTTAGGCTTTTAAAAGACAAATCCAATTTACAACATATGGACCATATATAAGAAAACCATCAACTCTTACTGAAAAGTAAGAAGGTGTTTTAATTTTTATTAACTCTTAAACCAACTTAAAAGCCAAGGAGACAAAGTCTTTCCTTATCACGTTAAGTTTAAAGACTCACAAATTCAGTTAACTATACTAAATTATCTACTTAATTCTGTTCAAAGTATACACTAAAACTGTCATAATAGCTTCCAAAAGATTTGAAATGGAGCACCAATTTCCTTGTGAAAATACTTTTTATAAATCATAGTTACTATAATTTCCTCTTAACTTCCATAGAAAATAATATTTGCCAATTACAAAGATAAAAACAAAAAGATCTAAGTTAAGCACAACAAAAATGTTAAACAATAAAATTTTAAAAGGAAAGTAAACAGAATATGTAGAAATCACTCTAAGAAGAAATAAATGACCCTGGCCGGTTTGGCTCAGCGGTTAGAGCATCAGCCTGCGGTCCTGAGAGACCCGGGTTCGGTTCCCGCTAAGGGCACGTACCTTGGTTGCAGTTTGTCCCCGGCCCTGGTCGGTTGTGCGGGTGGCAGCCACTCGATGTGTCCCTTTCACATCGATGTTTCTCTCTCTCTCTCTCTCTCTCTTCCTCTCTCTCCCTCCCACTCTACCTGAACAAAAAATGTCCTCGGGTGAGGATAAAAAAAAAGAAATAAATGAGGTTATAATAAGCTAAATCAGCAAGTTAAATTTGTACTAGAAAGCTTTAAGATCCCGATAGATAGATAGATAGATAGATAGATAGATAGATAGATAGATAGATGAAAAGAAAAGAAAAGAAAAGAAAAGAAAAGAAAAGAAAAGAAAAGAAAAGAAAAGAAAAGAAAAGAAAGAGGGAGGGAGGGGAGGAGGAAGGAAGGAAGGGAGGGAGGGAGGGAGGGAGGGAGGGAAAGAAAGGTGGTAGATAAAATTTAGACTTCCTTTTCTTTACTCTTGCTTACATCAGATAGCAATTCTCCAGCCGATGAATATGAGTCATGACTCAGTGTTAGAACACCACCTGCCCAATCTGGCTAACACACAACTAGTAGCTCTTCATATATTGAGCTGTCCTTAAAAACAATTTGTTCTCTGAGAACATGTCATAGCCTTTTTTTTGTTTATTTAGGGTTTTGTTTACTTGTTTGCCTGTTTGAATTTGACAAAGTATCTTGATGTATGTATACTTCAATTTCAAGTTAATTTAATCCATGTCTCTCAGTCTAAGCTAAAACCAAGATGAGGGGTTTATCATCATTCTTCAAGGCTTTACCTAAAAGACCACCGAGATTCACTTTTTAAGCAATACACTATGACATTGTCTACCAATGATTGTGCTTAAAACATAAAAAGACAATCTGCTTTGAACCTTCTGAGTCATTGCAAGTTGTCCCCTGCAGGGTCTCCCAGAGTGACTGCTTCTCAGTACCTCTGCCCAGCACTGTCCATCGGTATGACAGCATCTGTTCTCCTCTGTCATTTGCTCTGTCATTTGGTCTCTACTTAGAAATAGAGAACTTTCATGTCTGAATAAACTGGGAAAACTATAAAAACATAAAACTGTTATAATAATAGTAATAATGATAGTAAAAATAATAACAGTGGCTAACACTTGTAAAGGTATTGCAACAATTTCTAGGCCATATAGAAACAGTATTTTCTCAAGGCCAGTACCAACGTAGGAAGAGTAATTTTATGCCTTTAAATCAACACATTGTAATCACTCAAAAATAATTTTCTAGGTTCCTCTTTTTTTATATAATTATAAGAAAGTTATTATGTTATTTATAAGTTAGAACATAATTTGGGGGAGATTCTATGTTCAAATCAGAATGCTGGTTTAATAACTAGCTGAAGAAAAATACTCGTTACTAAAATTCAATAACCAGCTAAAAAGAAACACTTTGGCACTAATTATATGTTCAAAATTGTGATAAATTTCATGCAAAGGCCTAACACATAGAAGAGCCAAGTATACCTATTCCTACTGTTTCAGTATTTCTAATTCCTGTCACTACAGTGAC